AAATAAAAGAAAATTGAAATTAGTTGAAACATATTTTTAACTAAATTCACAAAATAAAGAAGCAATAATATTAAATAGAAAATAAAAATTATAATAAAAATTTTATTATATTTATTATCTTCTTTATTAAAAATAATAGGTTATTTATTTACATATTTATTATGTAATTTTTACAATAACCTATTATTTTTAATAAAAAAAGGTAAAATTACATAATATTATCAATTGTAAATTTTTCATTATATTTATTACAAATAAATATTTTAATATTTTTTATATTTATAATATTCTTTAATTAAATAAAAATATAAAAAATATGATACAATTTTTATATATGGTTCTTTTTATTTTATAATAATATAAGTAAGATTTAAAAAGAAATAGTAATTTTTTTAATAAGAATCACACCAAAAAAATTGGAGCAAATAATTTCCAACCTAATCAAGTTTTTTAAGTTTGAAAATATAAATAAAATAATAAAAGACATGGAAAATAAAAAGCCACTAAGTTTAAATAGAATTGGAATTAAATTCTTTGACATCTGTTGAGATAATTTTAAAATATATATATATATATATATATATTTTTTTTTTATTTATTTATTTATTTAATGAATGATATATTAATCAAAATAAAATTTCTAAGTAATTTCATTAGAAATTAGATTATATTTCTCTTTAAAGATAGAAAATAAAACTTACTTAGTAATTAGAAAATCTATTATTGTACTCAATACTATGTACAAAATCTATGCAAAAGCTTTTTAAAAAAGTCTTTAAAAGATGTACATTAATAATATCCATCTAAAACAAATAGCTTTATTATTAATAATATATATTTTAGACAACATTATAATAATCCACGAAATTATTAATTGGGCCAACATATCTAAACAACCTTTCTTTCTTCAAATATTAGATTTTAAAATATATATAACTAATCAATATGGCATTTTTTATGTAATGCTATGACAAAATTGTGCTTTTACCTTCACTTTATAAACATTAAAAAATTACTATAGATTAGTATATAAGCTTCAATAGGTGTGAATAAAATTTGATATATATATATTTTTTTATTTGAATGTGGAATGAAGCAAGATTGTTTGATCGTCCCTTATATATTCTTTAATATTGGTAAAACTTTTAACATAGCTATTTAAAAAGAAATAAACTCTTATATGCACTAAAGTTCTAAGGCCCATATGTTATAAGTCAATTGAAGATAATAGGCTACAATTAGTTGATTTTATTGAAGCTTTAACAATACTTTTTCCAGTGGATAATTTGAATCTAGTATCTAGGTGAATTAAATTTACAAAAATTTTAAAGAATTTAACTTATAAGAAAAAATCTGAAAGGAATTTAAAAATAAAGCTTCAACTTTGAATATGCTTTGTTGTCTAAGCACAAATTAAAATTAAAATGAAAAGTTATGGCTCTAAATATACCAATCTTGGATAAAAATCATCATATTTCTTGAACATAGAATTTTAGAGATTTTTTTTAAAGTATAAAATAGATTCTTATGGTGAAATAAAAACTATATATTAAATAATTTACATTTAAAGATTCAAAGACTTTTAAAAAATTACAAAATCAAAATGCAAAGAATAAAAAATATGCAAAGAAAATAAATATTAGACAAATTTTTTATTCTTTATTATAGATAGTTTTTTTGAGGAATACCTATCTAATAATGTTTCTTATTAGTGGTGTACTTTATATAAGAAGACATAACAACTACAAAAAGTAAGAAATTGGATTGATCTTTGTAGTTTAAATGAGAAATTTTTTTGATGTTATGTTCTTAAGGTATCAAATATAGCTATAAGAATTAATATCTACTAATAGTATGTATTATCTCAATTAATTAAGATAAAAATATATGAAGTTAGATCATAGTTGAGCTTTCTATACTATGATAGTATGTTCTTAAAGCAATTTATATCTCAATAAGTTAAGAAAGGTTTATGAAATTTGGTTTGTATACAAGGTTTTGATAAAATTGTTAGAATGAATATTAAGAATAAACCTACTAAAAAAGAAAAGAAAAATATAATTATTCTTTTAGTACTATTCAAGGTTATAATTTTAATCTTAAAAATACTATTTGAAGTGAGAAATTATTATAATGGCTTATACAAAATAAATTAGGTTTCAATTGCTTTAAAACATTAAGCTTTGTAGGAATTAATGACTCCAAAATATAATTAGTATTTAAATATATATATATATATATATAGAAAAATCTTGATTAGAACCAAGGGCTCGTAAAGAAATAATGCTTACATGTTTAATATACTATAGTAGGGTGGGGATAAATATTTAGAGAAAATAATCTAATAATTTTTTTTCAACAAGTTTATATATATATTGATTCTATAATGAAGTATTTAATTTTTCTTAAAATATATTTAAATTAAAATAATTTAAGATTAAATCACATCTATTCTATATAAACTAAATACTAGCCTAAGCTATTGGAGGTCATAGATTTTTTTTATTTTTTTTTTATTTTTTTTGTAGAAACAAATTTTTTTTGCCACAAAAAAATATCCTCTATGTTTAGATCATTCAAAAAAATCTGTTTCTTTTTGAGATGTTCATACATCTCAATAATACAAATGTGACAAAATGGATTCTCTTCTAATTGTGAGTCTTAGTCAAATCAATACACTATGGAGCAAATTTGATCAAACCTCATTTAAAATTATTCTATGAACTATGATGTGGGGAGTAATCAAAGAAATACTCTAAAAGTAATTTTACAACCAAAAGACCCCATTTTGTTAGTAGGATAGATGGCTAACACATTGAAGTAAGAATAGGTAAAACAATATTCTAGGATTCTAAAATTCTATGTGATTTGATTGTGCATGAAACAATAAAAACAAGGCTCGCAATTGAACTGTTAGTTTAATAGGTGACAATGTTTCAATTCTTGCCCTCTTTCAAGGGTGTTAGGAATGCCCATATCTATGATCCTCTAATTTAAGCATCGGGTAAACCGTTTCTGTGTATAATAACAATGAAAATTTAAATAAATGCAAATTTGCAATTCACAGGGAATCGTACACAGCAGCAAGTGATATCCAGGACGGTGTAGTAAAGAACTGCAAGAGCAAACATGTTGATCACGGAGTGCATGAGCTGTTAGGGGAACACCTTGCTCCGTTAATTTACTTTCTGAGATGAGAAAACCATGCTCCCCAAGTCCTTTGATGCTCCCAATCGCACAGATCGGATGGTTGAAATGCTCCACAAATCTACTATTGTGACTGCATTTGTTCCTGCAGAAGCACGGAATGGCATCCCCCAGAAGCTCACATATGACAACGTCAGCGAATACTATGATACCAACATATGTTGGTACGCCATTGTTTTACAGATATGTTGTTAAGTTAGGTGAAAGGCTCACCATAACTAGTCTCTCTGTTTGCCCAGGGCTGTCCAGACAAAGCACGGCATAATCTCTGCTTGCAAACAGTTCTCTGGTACCCACAATATGTAAACCCTTGAAGAGTACCCTTGAAAGGGGTTCAATCTTCTCACGGACGAACACCCGGAGCTGCTGTTGGGTTTTGCAATGCTTGTCATTGTAACCCTAGAAAGCCAGAGAGTCGATGATGCCTAATTGCTGAAACAGTTCTGAACGAGGTAAGTTTCCGTCATCGAGGTACAAGCATTGGACGCCTTAGATTCTGATTCCTGTTTCGTGAAGGGTAGATTAACAGTGTTCTGATGTTAGGGGGAGATGAGGCTCGTAATTCTAGGTGTATGTACGTGTGAAAGACGAGTTAATTTAAATGTATTGGCAATTTTCTTCATAGCTAAATTATTTAGCAGGCAACATTGCCATTTGATGCGAGATCGGCTCCCCATGTGAACCCTTTAGTCCTGGTCCTGTGCTGGGAAATTCATGTGGAAAGTCTCGAATCGACAATTGTTTTAGTCCTGGAGCTGACCATGGAATTTACACTAGGGTCTCATGCCTGAACTTTAATTAGTTTCACAAACATGTTGCACCAATCAAACGAAGGCTTGCAAGGATAAACCTTGCATGGAAGGTCTCTGGAAGCAGAATCAAGCAAAACGACCGCAGCAATAATGAGCCCTAAAACTAGTAAGTGTAAAGGAAAAAGAAAAAGAGACTGGCTAAAGACAACGAGAAACTCGAGTGGACAATGCACATTGATGAGTAGCAGGAAACAGAGCTGAAGAGTTCGCTACTCAAGGCATCGTCCCCCGTTATAGAAAGGCGAGGTGTAATTTTGCAGCTGATGCAAAGACGTGAAGCATCTACCCCACTCCCCCGGCAATAGGAACTCATTATCGAACCCTTGCATCACGTTGGAATGATATCCTAACAGCCGTCTGTGATAAGTGAAAGTAATTGCTGGTAAAAAGCCACCCGCAGTGTTTCGTGCAAGGTCATGTGAAGAATCCAGCCACTTGATGGTAGCTCACGATGATCTTAGGAGTTTGAACTCAGAACTTCGCAACGACTCCTGCGACCACGTCACGCAACTCTGGGCTTACAGATGCTTGCACCTTCCATTACTGGACCACTGGGCCTTTCTTGACTTTCATCCTCATTTTCAAACGCACGGCATACAAACTTTTGAAACCTAAGCCCTAACTACCCACCACATGCAAAGCTTTGGATAAAGGATGTCTTCAAACACGGCAACCAGATCCTGACTGCATCAGAAGATGGCTCCAATTTAAAACAGAAGTGTTGTGTTTGGTCACACGTGGCGCATACGTAAGTTCCAAGCTGAGTACCAGGAGACGCGTTAGAGTGTTCAATTTGTGTTGAACACTGTTGCACAAGGTGTTCGGAGTTACATCGGGGAGAGGTTCATGTGCTCACTCAATCTGTGCCCAACAATGTGCCCTTGCTGGAAGATGCGCTAGTGAAGCACTCCTTGCGGTGATGGTGCCGATGTTGAGGCCAAACAGCCTCAACCATGGGACCAATAAGTAAGTCTTGTTCAAAACCAATTCTCCGAAAACTCTGCTCTACTCTGGTCGGGGGGGGGGGGTTTCTTTGGCCTCTTTTCTTTTGTCAGTTCTTTTGTGAGTCCGAGGTTTCTGCCGGGCACCACAACTCTAACTCCTCTGTGATTCTTCTTCACCTTTACACCTCTCGCCTTTAGTAGGGAAGAATTAGTGGATCCTAAGTGTTGCTTCTCTAGCATCTGATTTGGGATGGGACGTTTAGTTGGAGGATTCTGCCTTTGACGAAGAACTTCACTTGAGAGGTAGTTGTCGGTTTCACATTTGGGTGTGGGCCAGTTCAAGGATCTTTTTGTGTCGAGCTGGACGCATTGCTGGTGTACTTGGCTACGAGCTTGGTTTTGAGTAAGGTACTCAGAGGCTGACTTTCTTACATGTTTATCCGCTTACTAAGGCCCTGAAAACAGTGCGTGGTTTTAAAAGCTTGATTGTTGAAGGAGCTTTTACAGGTTCTAATGTAAACCTACTCAATTAATACAACACGAAGGAAGATAATCGACCTTTCTTTGACTTGTTTGCTATGCAAAAGATCTCATAGTGTTCGTGTTTAATAATCCAAAGTCTGGATTAGCTGCCCTTCTTTGCCTTCGATAACCTAGAGCTGTTATTCGGACGTCCACGTTTACCGACTTACAGTGCTTGTGAAGAGGACTTCTTTCCATTCGTCTCGAAGATAATTTTAGAGTTAGCATATCCCGGTGGCTTGGAAGAATTAGTATCAGTCTTGTCAGGTACCGAATGATCAACTTGATTCTTCTTCGAGGTTGTCCCTGTCTCGATAAGCTTATTCCTTTATTTTAATCAGCATTCTAAGCGACGCTATTTGCATAGTGGTAGCTTTGAACTGCATTTCTAGTTTGAGTTTATACGAGTGCTTTCCATGTTTCGTGGCTCGAAGGAAGTCCTAAAATTGCAGGATGATTCATTCTATAGTACTGAATGAAGCATTCCTCATTCTACAGAATCGCACGGTGGAACTGCAAAATGAAATTTGAAGCAAACCACAAGAGGAATAGGCAGGAGCCCAGAGATTTTGGGATCGCTATATCGAATGTTTTGATTTACCTAGGGTACTTTGGATTGAGTTCACGACCTTGATCTTGACGAATTGATACAAATTGGTGTGCACAAATCATGTAAACGAGGAACACTTGGTATCATCGCCCGCGACTGGACTTGTTCGTTTGTAACAAGTGAAGGCATTGACGAAGAAACGATAGCTCCCTACCATGCACAATGGAATGAGAGCAGGGCCGTCAGGATCCTTGCCAGCTCCCGGTGCGCAGAGCATGGAGCCTCGCAGAGCAGGAACCTCATCCAAGCCAAGAAAAGCCGTGAAAGTGAAAGTCGTTGACCTCTACCAATTCGAAGTGGAGGTTACGAGAGAGGAAGCCGCAGTTCTGAATATGGTTAAAGAAAGAGTGAAAGAACAAGGTCGGGTATGGTGGGCTACAGAAGCAAGTAAAGGAGCTGGATGGTATTTGCAGCCTACTGTTTCTTCTCTAACTGAGAGCAACCTCGTGTCGCATCTTCCTCTCTCCAATTTCACCGACTCCGGGCATTTAAAGAAACTAATAAGGAAAGGAATTCCCCCTGCGCTGCGAGCGAAGGTGTGGCGGGCAGTCTCTGGCGCCATTAAGAAACGGTCAACTGTACCTGATAGTTATTACCAAGATCTCATAGAGGCAGTGCAGGGAAAGGACACCCCTGCTACTCGGCAGATTGACCATGTATTGTCTGTCCCCTTTCTCTTGGGTTGTCTTCTATCGATTGTAACGATGTAGTCAATTCAATTTGCAGCTTGGACTTTGTGGTCTGCGATGTGAGGAGACTTAAACTTTGTCTGCGGAAAAACTTCGAATTGATGCAAGGTCGAATACACCTTAAAACTGTTTGACTTGCAGGATCTGGATCGTACATTTCCTTGTCATCCAGTCATAGATTCTCCAGAAGGACAAGCATCGTTGCGTCGAATTCTAAGGGGTTACTCTTTTCGGGACTCTCGTGTGGGGTATTGCCAAGTAAGCTCCAACTCTTCTTTGAATTATTGGGATGACAGAATATCAATGCACTGTTTTCTTTTTCTTGCCTTGCAATGAAGGGTAATATACTTTTGTGCTAAGAACTAGTTCAAGCACAGCCCTTTTGATGTCACTTAGTGTTTTTCAATGGTTACAATTGATAGAAAACTAGGGTGTTTGCAGGGCATGAATTATGTGGCTGCCTCACTTCTATTAGTCATGAAAACCGAGGAGGAAGCTTTTTGGATGCTAGCGGTGCTGCTTGAAAACATATTGTATCACGACAGTTATTCCGAGAATTTGTACGGGTGCCATGTAGAACAACGAGTTTTTAAAGAGCTTTTTAAGAAGAAATGCCCCAGGTTGTATTTTTCGGCATACTTTTCATTTACTTATTTGGTCGAATAGAAGTAGGAAGTGGTACACATACTCTCTCAACACTTGGTATTTGTTACTGTTGTTCATTTTGTATTTTTTTAATTAAGGCACATCTATGTATTGTGAGTTATTCGTTCATGTCAAATTGCCTCCTTGTCGTGCTAGTTGAAGCTTGGCTCATTATGGTTTATGATACGTATAGCAGTTCTGTAGTGCGAACAATATTTCATCGGTCGGCATTGAGTTCTCTTCCTGAAACATTGAATCTTCAGCTTTTCCTCTGTACATGTGAAGAATTATGCTTTCCGCTCCCAGTTAAGGTTGACTTAGAAGTATGATGTTTTCCAGCGTGATCATGTGATTAACTCCAGCGTGTACTTATTTATCTGTTGCATTGTCGATGGTGTGGGCAGGCTTGCTATGCACTTGGAAAAAATAGATTTTGACTCATCGCTGGTCACAACTGAGTGGTTTCTTTGTTTGTTTGCAAAAAATCTACCATCAGAGGTGTGCATTCAATGTCTTCTTCTTTCCAAGAGACAGTCTGGACATCAGCTTTCTTAACTCCATTATCAGCAGGCATTGTTATGCAAGATGTAGGTTCTAGCATTTATGGTAAAGAATGTTTGGATCTGTTAGTGCGAGATTTGCAACTAAGTTAAGCAACTCGCTAGTACAGCTCATCTTTTGACCCCAAACCAAAATTACAATCCTTTGTAGACAACAATGCGAGTATGGGATGTCTTATTCAACGAGGGTGCTGGCATCTTGTTCAGAGTTGCTTTGGCGTTCTTTAAGGTACTTTCTTCCTCTGCGTTTTTTATCCTTGAAGTGTGCGTGTTTCGGAAAACGAATTCCTGCTGTGGTTGTTGCTTACTATTTGAAAAGGATTTATAAGCATATTTGCATTATGGCATCCTCGAATGTTTGGTTTTGAATTCCTGAAGTTCATTTTACTATATTGATTTTATTGATAATCTTCTCAAATGGGTTTACTGTAGATCAAAGAAGAACAATTGCTTCGCGCAAAGCATGTAGGTGAAGCGATCAATATCCTCCAAGAAGCAACACACAGTGCTTACGATCCTGAAGAAATCCTCACGGTAATTCATTTCGTATTGCCTTAATAATTATGCTGTGAGGTTGGCAATCGCGGGCCACCAAATGCCTATTCACTGGTGTATTCTTTCATTGATTAACACATAAGTATACATTTTCAAATAGGTGGCTTTTGAAAAACTAGGAGCTGTGTCAACTCAAAACATTACCAAGCAGCGCGAGAAAGAACAGCCTGCTGTGATGGCCGAATTGGAGCGACAAGTACAGCGGCTTGCCCGTAGTGACGATGACTCAGCTTCGAACAGTCCCAGACAACAGGCGCCTTGAACCATTAGGAAGTTATTTCTTGAAGGTTTCAGTTTCCTCTGTTCAGCATTTCTTTAGTCCATACGAAGGGTCCCAGCCGTGGGTTTTGATCTGAGAGTAAATCTCCATGTAACAACTTGTTTAAGGCAGGGCGTTCAAATTTTGCATCAAAGAGGAGGTGGTTATGTTCAAATTGTTGAAAGTTGTGGATAGATTTAGAGTCCACTAATAACTCGATGGCCAAACTTAACCAGTAGATCAACATCTGTACTACCGTTACCACACTCATGTGGAAAGAATACCAGGCGCTGACTTTGATCTTAGGTCACTGTCAACCTTTTTCCACTTTTGTAATGTCTTTTCATCTTGGAGGATCTAGATTTATAACCACTACCAGTTTTGTCCATCGAAAGGTCAATTGTTTGTCAAGTGGTTTGATGTTGACCATGTGAATGATACGACTGTGTCTGCATCAACTTCACCTCATCAGTGAAAGATGAGGCGTAACGCACAGGAAATCCAATAAACGAGTTCCATTTGCACATTACTGTCGGGTGACCATGGAGAATGTCTACTAAAGTTTCATGTTTAATTGCATTTTATGCTAGCTCTCAATAGCCCTCAAGGCTCATAGATAAATCTATCAAGGCAAACCAAAGCGGCATCATTTTCTCCTTCCCCAACAGTAATTTGAAGCTGGATGGAAAGCCTGAGATAAAGTTCTTCAAGAGCAACGTGATGATTCCAGCGACAATAGTGGCAGGTCAATCCTCAAATTTCGCAAATCGACAATGTAGTCTCCAACGGTTCCATAACGACAACAATTTATTAAATCGAAATCCAATACACCAATTAGGACTAGTATGCAGCATACTAGGTGGTTGCCCACAAAAAACTTCTCATATACAAACCCCGAACTAGTGTGCACACAAACTAGTCTCGACAAACCCATCGATCCACAGATGTCGGCAGTAAAAAATCCAATTCTCCTGCAACAAGATTCAACTTAGGTATACATGATACATACATTCAGGGACATGGGAAAAAAAACGAAAAAAATAAAAAAACAAAGACCTCTTGCAACCTGCCAAAATCAACTACGATTTTCTATTTTAATATAGAGCCACAAGTTTCTGATTCTCTCAAAAATGGAGCAGCATTACCTCTACACTCTAGGTTAGAAGAAAAAAATTAGAGTATTGGACAAGGTGTATGAAACAGGACACACGGCTATGCCAGAAAGCTAGAAAAACAGAACCAAGTGATAAGGGCCCTGATACTACCTGAAAGAGAGCCTTGTGTTGAGCTCCTTCTACAATAAGCCATAAGCCACGAAGAGCGCAGCTGATTTCAATGTCGAGTTGAAGACACGCCAGTATATCCCACTATATATAATTCGAAGCAAACCTCTATAATTACAGAATCACCACTTGCTGTAAACCTGCTCTCAGTTGACAATCGTACAGTAAGGAAATTTCAAACTTCACAACAGTTCAGTCGAGGACACCAATCGTAAGCGGATGTGAGACTACAAGCTCTCAATTGAGAATTTGGTGAAAACAAAACGTAGAATTCGAAAAGAAAACATGATTCTGGACTCAATGAAGAGAAATTTGCCAAGACAAAATCCTTTTTAGTTTCATGTGCCGAAACAAAATGACTCTTGACTTCGTACCATATCTTCTGTACATTCAGTAACTAGTCACACCGTCCAAAGAGGTTGATCAGTGAAAATATAATAGACAGGTAACCCTGTAAAGCCATGCAAACCAATGGATCACCAAAATTATTTAATAAAGAGTACAATGGTGTGGTGATTTACAAAAGAAATAATATTTCACATACTAGCTTTACGCACTAATTAAGCACTAAGCAAAGCCTGGAAACCACGTCTAGCACCTATGATTGGACGATTTCTGACCATGTAAATATGCAAACTCAAGTGCACCTGGTCCTCAAGCGCCCATGCCAGTGAGAGGAATGTATTGACGTTGAAATTCATGATCCTCTCCCTGGTGATCTTCTCCAAGCAAGTTTACCTGACGCGTAACGAAATACTCAAGGTGAGTGTTCCAGACATCACAATAAATCGACTCGAGATATATTTATGACCAAAAAACAGAGCAGGTTGCAACAATGGCTGAAAATTGCATAAACAAGTTACCACGACAAATTTTACACTACTATATAACAATACCTTGATAATCTCTGATCTTGAATGGGGATGATTGTAAGCCACGAGCATACAGAAGTGAAAATCCTGAAATTAACCAGTGAAATTTGTTTTAGTGTCGTAGTGGACCCGCCTGATCCCATAAAGAGGATTTCAGTGTTTCATCTATGCTATATCCAAATGAAGGATTATGGCAAATAAAAATATCTAACTTTATAAAAAATAAACGTATGGGCATGCGTTCCAAACTTAATTAAGTTAAACTACTTGCACGGATATCTTAAAAAGAAGAGAAAACGGGAGAAAATATTTAGATAGATCATAAGAGTCGAGAGTGAAAGAAAAGAACACGCACAAACATACGGAAAAAAAAACAAAAAAAAACCAAAACAAAAAACAAAAAACAAAAAACAAAAAACAAAAAAAAAGGCCAGAGTAGCGCAGAACAGATATGCTCACCTTGAATGGATCACCCCGTAGTGATTGTACGTACAAGGAATTTCTCAAACCTCGGCCCTGCAACATGAATGGCTCACATTAACCGCATCTAAAGGGATTCGTATTCTCATATATGATGAAAGTCAGAGAAAGATTTGAAAAAATTCAGAAAAATTATTGCATCCAAGGGTATTATGAACGCAAACATAATAAAATAAAATTTCGCATACTTCGAGAAATAAATAGATTAGCTACTATATCTGTGTTTTCGAGTGAAAACCATTCTTGGTTATCTTGATTAGTATCTTTAGAATTTATAACTTAATGATAGCATAATGCTGAATAAGAATTTTACCTCCACTGTTAGATCCCGAAGCCGCCTGCCAGTTTGAGCACAACAGACACGGACGACATTCTCTTCACAGCTGCCACTTATGATGTAGTCACGACCATTGAGATAATAAGAGCGAGTGTAATTTTGACTACTGCCCATTGGAGTAATGTCAAACTTCATGTGGAGTCTACCATCCACTGCGAGATGTTGCCTTACCTGAAGTAATGATTAAATATCATAATTACTCGAAGTGCTCAGAACAACATTGGAAGGAAAGAAAAAAGAATAAAGAAAAAAATCATGCTAAACGCTTAGATCCTTATGAGGTGGGACAACTACTACATGCTCCGGTTCTGAAGGGTCCATATTGGCCTTCAAAATGAACATACAGCTTGCGAATCATTTCTATGAATGAATTCCCACCGGAAAAAGCATTTTCAGTAATACAATTTCAGCAAACTCAAAGCATAAGCTTAAATCGACAAGCTTACCTCATTATCAACAGCTGATGAAAGAAGGTAGTGGTCGTCGCGTGAAAAACAAACCATTACATTGCCTCGATTACTTCTAACAGTGTAGATAGGCTGCATGATTCTCTGTCTTAAATCCCACATCTTAATCTCCTTGTCGAATGACGAAGTCGCAAATATTTGGGGTGAATGGTTTGCAAACTTCACCACGTTGATATGCTCTTTATGCAGATCACGAAAGATTTGCATTCGCGTGCCAGTGCGAAGATCGTAAAGACCAACATGATTGGAATATCCACTTGCCACAAAATAGTCATCACTTGAGTTTATGTGAACAGACGTTAACTGCTCAAAATCATCGTAAGTGTAAATTGTGGGACTCCTCCCATTTCTACCGCCAATGTTCCCAGAGTTAGATTGCCGACCCCAACGTCCATTACTTTGGTGTTGATATATACTGGAAACGCGTCTCTCAGACGAAATCTCAGAGGCTCGCATGTGGTTAACATCATAAAGTTGAATGCATCCATTGTCTGATCCAGCAATCAGCTGCACAGGACGATTAGGGAAATGAAGTTGATAAGAACAATTACATATGCACTTCAATACAGAAAGAACATTTTGTAAAGGAGCACATAAGAGCTGCAAAGTGTACCTTGTTTGGATCCTTGTTCAACCAACAGAGCCCAAGAATACTGTGTGGAGCACCAATGGATTGTACGTATCCCACGACCTTGTCACTCTCATGATTGATAACCACCACCTCTCCTTGAAGTGTTCCAAAAACCATGTAACTTGGCTCTGTAGGATGATACTCAAACTGGCGAGGTCGACATCGTCTACCACCATCTAAACTTGGTTTCTTAAACCGACAGATGGTCTTCATCGTAGGCCATGCATTAGATCCGAGTTTGGCAGCGGAAAGAGAGCGGGTATATGCATCGGAACTCCTCTCATTATTTACGTGAATTAACTTACTACCACGACCAGCTCTAATACCAAAACCACCCACTTCTCGTCGATTGATGACCTGCAAAGTAACAGAGATATTCAGGACAAACAGTACTAGGTATCACACTCTCGCAAGAAGTAGAAAGCTGAGAATTATTAACTGTTTCTTTCTGAGCTTCTAATCCTACGTACGGTTTCAGTACCTGAAGTAAATTCTCCATTACCCTTCGATTATTTGCTACAGGTTCAAATCGCTGTTCATACACATAACGAGCTTTTTCCCTTTCATTCTCGGTTATAGCCATGTTGTCCAGTACTTGAAGACCTGGAAGCATATTGATCAAAAATTCCCGGTAGTTCTTTTCGTAGCATATAGGTGATGCGGGACGAGCACCGGGCCAAGCATTTGATCCTGGAATCGCCATCGGATAGGGCCCGTCTCCATTGTCTTCTGCTCTTTCTGCCTCCCGCTCGCTAGCTCGTTCACCACTGCCTTCACTTCGTCTTAAAGTGATTTCCTGATTAGACTCTTCAATCTGGCTAGCTGATCCTCTAATACTGAGGTGAGTCTTTCGAGCAACAACCCTCTCGAGAGCCTCTAACATTGATATTTCAGCATCATCAGTTTCCAACTGACATAATCCTTCACTAATAGAAGTATTAGACAGAATTCCACCAAATGGGGCCCTTGAGTCAGGCAGTGTGCAAGAATCGACCAAGTCAAGAAGATCCGATATCCCATCTCTGACGTGATCTTCCTCGTGAGCCTCTTGGTTTGATGCTACAAGTTGCTCAGCGACTAACGGAAGCTCTTCATCTACAATGGTGTGTTCACTCTCTGGGTCGCCTTGATCCTCACCACTTCCTCGCATAAGAGTAGGGTAGGCTGGATCATCACCTCTTACAACATCCATGACCTGGCTTTCCCTTGGTGCAGCCTGTAAACAAATCCAAGTTGATAATAAATAATAAATAAATCAAACTGCTTCCAATTAAGTAACATTATCTTCGAAAAAGAGTACAATCACTTCAGATCATCAAACCCTGACCTGCTCAGTATCACTGTCTTCAGCTGATTCCACACTCGAGTTGCCAGATCCCTGATTATCATCTGACTCTGGATATCTAAATAGGTGATCTGAATCATCCTCACTTCCTGAAAGGTCGGAAAGAACAGAACCAGACGATTCGTAAGCTTCTCCACTCCTGTCGGGTGGAGGTACCCACTGCCTGGGCTGATTCCTCTCCGCACCACCCTGTTCACAAGAGCAAACTCCAATCTTGTTTCAAAATTCAACTTCAGCTAGATTTGCAACCAACGCACAAACATCCCATCGAAGCTAATCTTTAGCTACACGATAAAAACTGAATTAAATAAATAAATAAATAAAAATAAATAGCAGAGCCTGCTCTATCTCATTAGAGACGATGTACTATACGAAACACCAAACCTGGTATAAACGCCCCTTCCGCCCACCAATACCATCACTTTGCGGACAAGCTGCTAGAGCTGCACACTGACCTGTGCCTTGACAACACAGACACTTTTGGAATCGGAGCTCTCTCAAAGCTACAAGCTTACGTAAAGCGACACTAGTTGTCCACAAGTTCATGACGCTGGTGCCACACATAGAGAGCTTTGCCAGCTTAGGCATAGCACCAAAGCACCCTTCAGGTAAGCAGGTCACTGAGAAGCAGTAGTCAAGGTTCAAGGTATGTAAGTTGGGAAAATGTCCTGACATTTCCATTTTGCGAATGCGTGAGAAACTAACATCCATACTCTGACAGTTGATTCCACCATGAAAAAGCTCCCTGCAAACAAACACGTAAAGCACTTAAAAGAACAACAAAACATCATATAAGAGTTTTTACTTCACTCATGTTAAAAATTATTAAGCACAAAATATTTGACACTAGGTAAGGGATTCACGATGTCAAAGCAAGTATAAAGTCACAAACCTAACAGCTTCGCGTCCAAAAACATTGTCTCTTAGGTCTGCATTTCGGAGCTTGGAGCCAGCAGCTCGCATGACGTGAACCACCCGTGACCATCTCAGATTTGACACTGAGTTGCTATACACGATATCAATTGCGTCTAGGTCTGAAGTTTCGACTGCTGACAACATCTCCATAAGAGGCTCGATGTCATTATTCGGAATCTGATCCAAGGGAATCGTAAGGGTTCGGTCCTCCTTCGTATGCTGATTTCGAACCTGACATACAAGTGTGCAGACAAAACTAGCAAGTAAGCATATCCATAAATCCCAAAGAACCAAGCAGAATTAAACCCATTTTGCATGATCGAAAAGGTGAATGGACAAGCATTTCTCTTACGTGTCAGAAACAACCAAGTTGAAAACCATAGAAGCTGCTTTTGATGTCCCACTACCTAAATTGGACAGCCCTAACTAAAATTAGTAGAAATACTACAGTAAATTATATTATGCTGTAACACCCTCAACTATGAAAAATATCTGACTCTTCATGAAAAAAATGATCATATAATTGCTAGTACTACTTCAGGACATTTTTCATCCCGCATAGATATGAAGATAATGCACCTACAGAACAAAGAAAATTAAAATAAAATAAAATAATACTTACTAATATTGGCTGTAATAAAAACAAAGTTGTTTACAACGAAATACACGTAATATTTTTCTGTTCTACTTGCACCCTCAACTACACATTAATGACAACTGTAAAGAGGCATTAACTACATGCTCACCTTGTCGAATACTGAAAGGATAGAACTGTGAGGACTCGTCCCATATCTTTCGCATGCACTGACATACCTGCAAAGCAAGTCACCAGTCACAAACACACATTCAAGGAATATTCAAGAATCGCGTGTTGTACATGTAGCAAACTCCTAAAACCAAACCTGGCATCATTAAGGAAGATTTGACAGATTCATAAAGCCGCTGAAGCTGATCCTGATTTTTGCACAAACGTAATGGTCATTTTCTAGGTCGCTGAACGTAAGCAAGTCACCTCGAAATGAAAAGCACACTCATCTCTACGATAATATCAAAAACTGCCTTTTACGATCCCTTAAGCAAGCTACGGAACCTACCAATTATACAGAGCATCGTAATCATAAGCAGTTTTCATTGCTCCCGTGTATATTAAATCCGCAGCCGCAGACTCCTTCATACAAGTACTTCCAGTATGAAGAAAAAAAAAGACCTATTCACAAACTTCTTCACAACTGAAAATCTTCTCCTGGAGGGTGCAGCCAAATCGACACGAGAACGTCGAGCTTGTAATTGAGCGCAACCACCAGCGGCGACAAAGGTGTGCTATCCATATCCTGCACCAAACCCTAAATGATAAAGAATAACATAAACTATGCAATGTCAGAAAATATACCAAATAAAACGCGCATGGGTAATCAGAATTGAGATGGTCACAGCTCACACTCCGGTGGAGCACTACTATCTACACCCAAGAACGGATCTAAAATCGTCAAAATTGTTCCCAAGCTCGGACCTCGTTGTGAAAATTGCAAACACCTCCCCCTCCAAATAAAAATACATATACATGCCTCACCTAGAACTATATCTTCTCACATTCTACAGGGTTTCACAATTGTATCCCTTACAAACGATACTCGAACACAAATAAGAAGTTTAATTGTAGTTATCAAATCCACTACTTGCTTATGTGAAACCTGCGTATCCTGTTTAGCCTTCAGTTTCCGATCACCAAAGGAGATCATGAACCATTAACCAACAAAGAGTGCTGAAATAGCGACTGCCAAAAATTGCCCAACCCGATTTTATAAACCTATACTGAAAAAAAAAAAACAAAACAAAACAAAACAAAACAAAGCGCAGAAATATTAACTCCTAACGAAGTCACAATCAAAATCCCAATCCTGCATACAACACAATGAGCAAAATCCAAATCCGAACTCACGATCAAAAACACGAGAGGCCTTACGTGGATGAAACGCAATTCACGTCGAATTCCAGCAATTCAGAAGCAGCATTTCGCTCTCCGAACCACTATATAGTCCCCACCTTCACATCCGCTAAAAAGAGTACGTATTCTGAGGCTCTCACAAACGCTACCTGTACGTATCCAATTTCTCCGACACACTCAATCTCTTAACACCAAATGACCAAACCTCTGCACCTCATCACAACCCCCATGCCAGGCAAGGCGTCACCTAACAAAATCCAATCCCTTCACCGAAATGCCAATTTCCCACCATCTGAAAAATTTCTGACCTCACCGCTCCTCCCAAAAGCATCACCCTCTACTGAATCCCGAATCGGGCACAGAATGGTGACTGGCGGTGCAAGAGTGACGCAGGCAACGAAAGCACGACCGAATTTCGACCATGAGCGACGACAATTACACCATCCAGAGGTGGAAACCCTAATGGCGAATTGGAAGGAAGTGCCGAGAATCGATGGAATCACCCTAATTAGCAATTTCTTTCTATTTACTCTGTTCTTCCGGTAAACTCTGAGAGTAGGCCGGGCCGGGTAGGGCCGGGCTCGGTCGGGAGTTTGACCAGGACGGGTCGGGATTCGATATGCAGTTGTTCCGAGATCACGGCTGCAATGTGAATGGACAAGTCCAGTTCGTCGAAACTCTGTTCACACCGTCACGGGATCCCGCATTTTGGCTCCGAGTGTGAATCAGAACAACAATTCAACTGATTCTGACTGAATTTTCAATATTTTGATGCATGGTAATGCATATTTCATACTAATATTACACTTCAAATTTTTCTATGAAATTCAAAAAAAATCATGTTTTATTTCTTAAGACAATTCTTTTTTTGATTTCTTTGTCTTGTTCATATCTTAACTTAGATTCTTGTCAGAATAATAAGAGGTTTTACAGCAAATAAATAGAACAGGATGAATTTTATTACAATACTTAATTTTTTCTAATGTAATAAAAAATATATATTTTTGGGTATCAATAAATAAAATTAAATAGAGTCTACCAATGACAACATCAATAAAAATTTGAAATTATTTATTAATATGCATCAAATAAAATTTAAATACTGCAATATAAAATCCCTATTACAGATTTACATTTTTTATGTACTTCTTAAAATAAATATTACAAATTTTAAAATTTAAGAATGAATTGAATATGATGAATTAAATTGAAATTGGCCATGTCTTCACAAATATTATTCGCCATAATTGTTACTTTATAACATATAAAATATTTAAAGTCTTTTTCTTGAAATCAGTCTTTTTCTATCATATAAATGATTTTTCTAATATATCTATAAATCTTCTGAATATTAAATTTTTAAATTTTAAATTTAATTTAATCTGGATAGGTATGAATTTGAACACAATCTTATATGTTTTACACAACATTAAAATGTTTTGGTTGTCGATTACTTTGAAGACCTCGACTTGGGTTTTTTTAATCATAATCTATTTGAAGTCCGTTTTAGCCATTTTATTTTATAGAATATATGACATATACTTTAAATTATTGAATTAACTTTTAGAGATGGTGGATATGATGGTCAAAATAAAACCAAACTTTTTTAAAATTTTAATTATTAAAATAAAAGATTCTTAATTGAAAGTATATTAAATTAAACACCTCAATTTCAAAAAAGTTTTAAAGATTACTCTTTAAGATGTTACATGAGAAGATTATGATGCCATTATTTCTTTATTTTTAAATTCATGGAAAAACTAAATTCATGAATAGGGTATTGAAAAAAGATTAAAGACGCTGTTTCAAATATCATTCAATATATCAGACAATTGTCTTGCTACTGCATAAGTTTTTACACGACAAAATAAATAAATAAATAAATAAATAGTTTCCGAACAAATATCATTTAATCCTTGTAACAAGAGCTATAGTTTTTTTATCTAATTTTTAAATTTCTGTTTAATTTGTAAAATTAATTTTATATCAACTATTAAAGCATCACTGACTAACTAAATAAATAACCAATTATAACTATAACTATAACTATATATATATATATAGTTGGTTATTTTATTATGATATCAAAATCAATCCACCATCATATCTACCATGCTTCATGGTAATTGAATACTAAAGGCAATCACCTAAATCAATAATAATGCACCATATATTTTTATGATTTTATTAAAAATAAATTGCAGAATAAATATTAATAAAAAGTAAAAAATAATGACTATTAAATATTTTTCAAATTAATAAATAATAACATGGGCTAAGTTTTAGATTCACTTTAGCACCACAATGAAGAAATGTATCTTTTATAAAAGGGTGGAGATAAAATTAGTTAGAGCACATAAAATCCATCTAAGATTCTTGCAGACGCATTAGAAATTTTTGGATTTTATATTGATTTTTTTATTTTAATCAAAGTCAATGAATTTAAATTATTTTGAAAATCAAGATTATTTTACAGATAAGTGAACTATTTAATCTTTATTTATTTTAATATTTTTTATAATTTCTTTTATGATTTGTCTTAATCAATTAAAAAAATAAAAAAATTAACTTATGTTTTAAGAATGATTACTTGAAATATTGCTAGATAAATGATATGATCTTTGCAAAATTATTATTAAAATATTAATTCTTAAGAGATATAAATTATACTTTTATTTTATTTTAAATAAATAGTAAGACATAATGTATATTTTATTGTTATCTTACTAAGAAGTTTGGGTTCTTAATGTTGTTGGAGGTGGACAATACATCTATCAATATTTTTAATATTTTGGTTTAAGATATTTGAGAAATCTTCACCAATTACCAAATAGTTGGGTAGTCCAACTGGTCAAGCATTAAGCATGAGTAAAAAGTCAAAAGACATTTCAACTATTCTTATATAGAATATAAATTTAATTTTTTAAAAATATTATATATATATATATATATAATTTTTTACAAACTAATGAAGAAAATTAGGATCTTCCTATTATTTCTTAAAAAAATAAAATTAAAAGAATATATATATATATATAGAATATTATAGCTACTAACATTACCTAAATAAATAAAAGTGAATTGAAATAAGAATATATATATTACTATTAAAATTTCCTTGAGTCTGTAGACCTTAGAAACAACCCATAAATTTGACACATATATCTTAAGTCATTAGGTTCTTATCAAATTCCTTTATGATATTGAAATTAAATATATAAACATACAAGCAAGATTGAAGCGAAATTTAGTCTTGTCAATTCCTTTCACTTGTTCTAATTTTAGTTAAGAAGCTTTTATTTCATTCTCACATAAAATTTTGAAATATAAAATTACTTTTAAAGAACCTTATTATTTTGAAAATATGTATATATATATATGTATTTATTGTATTTTTAACAAGTATCTAGAGGTTTATTTTATGTGTTTTTATAAGACCAATAAACACAATATTAAATTTTGACAAAAAAACACATTACTTATTTTACTTTCATTTACATAAAAATTTGTAAAAAAATTCAACTTATTCTCTCTTGAAATATTACATTATGTTTAAATATTTTTATGTGTGTGTATAAATATATGATTTTTAATGCATTATATACCTATTATTATAATATATTTAAGAATCATTATGAGTGTTATGTATATATATATATATATATATATATATATAATGATATATCAATCAATATATGTAATACATCAATTATGTTTACTATTAATCAATATAAAGATTATTTGGTAATAAAAATATGAAATGGTATAAGTTTCTTTAAAAAGTATACTACTTCAAATAACTATTTACATTATAATTTATGATGCTAATTTGATCTCTTTTATTAAAATGTTTTTAAGAAGTTTATTAATATTAACTAATAGTACTAAAAATTAAGAATCCAAGTGCAATTTATTAATGAAATTCAACTAAAAAGTGCTTTAGATTTGCTATTCTTAATGTATCCATTTATAATATATAATTAATAATAATTTTATATATTTAAAAAATATTTTTAGTAAAATATCAAATTTAATCCATGCATCTATTAATAAGATTTAGATATTTTAAAATAAAAATATATAAAAAAAATATAATATTTCATAGAGAGAATTTATAAATTTTAGTATTAATTATTAATTACCATAAAAATGTAAATCTTTTGTTAATATTATCAAATTAAATTTAAAATAATATAAGAAATAATTGCAACTTTATTTATTTTTTAAAAATAATTATAATATATTTTTTTATAGGTTCGTTTTTTATTTTTTATGTATAATTAAATAATTTTTTATTTTTTATTTTAATATTTTTTGAAAATTTGAAGTATAAAGTACTAATAATAATATAATGAATATTCAAATATCTTATAATACAAAAAATTATAGTTTTCTTTTTTTAATCATTTATAATCCAAAAGACCTACAAATATTTCCAATTACTATTTAAAAAATAGTTCAACCATAAAATATATATTTTGAGTTAATAAAATAATTTCATTTTCCTCTACAGAAATTTTTTTTTCACTTGTTTGATATATTAATTTTGAGTTTTGCAATTTAAGTAGGTTTACTAAAGATTAGATGACTGTCAGTTGCAGATTTAAGTACTGGACATGGACAGTAAAGTTGCACAGGCATTCTAACATGTGCAAGCCAACTACATCTAGTTCTGCAAGCATGTGGTAGAATTAATGCTTATATGCATGCTATCAGAATGCTTGTGTTGTGTAACAGCAAGGGCCAAGTTTTGTACAAGAATTTGTTTAGCATGCTGAACAAATTGAGTCGTGTTTGCCATTCTAGCTATTATTCTGTTCATTATAAGCATTTCTCATCCTGGTCTGCAAAATGTTTTGGTCTAAGGAGCCATTTAGGTTTGCTTTTCATCCAATACTAGGTACAAGCTGAGTACCTATTCCTTTATAGCCATCTTTGAAGGTGTGCCCTTATTAGCAAAATTATGTGAAACTGCAGGTGAAACTATCCAGTTTTGAAGCATTCATTTATAAATGAAGCCACTCGAAATTGAGAGTTTCATCCCCCCCCCCCCCCCCGCTGTTTGTGAATTTTAGGGACTAATTGAAAAGCTTCAGTCTGAGTTCGATCTATAAACTCAGATCTTGAGAGAAACGGGCTGGAAGCACTGCATCATCTATTGCATTTTGGTAGTATTCAGAATATTATTTGCATTGTTTGTAAATAGAATGAATTCAAACTGAGACAATCACCTCGGAGAATTATGAAGAGGACAAGCTGGGTCTGGACAAATCCATTGCCATGAGATCCCATTGACTGGGTATTTGATTACACGAGCTAAGACTCTTTCTCGACGTAGCCTCGAAAAATCATTGGATTTCCAGTTAATCTGCTCAGTATATTAGTATTCACACAACAATTTTTTTTTTTCTCTCTTGGTGATATCATTCATTAGATCTATCTATTGCTGTCCTTAGAGCTTTGAATTGTGAGCAGACGTGGTGTGTTTTACCCTCGTTCTGCAAACGAACGTTTCAACGGAGCTGGCCATTTATGGCGCGAAGCTCCATCAGTGGCCCGTCTAGGAACCGGGAAAACCTGTAGTGATGTAAAGGATTAGATCTCATCCATCGAAGCTCCCTTGGATCCCACTGCACACCCTTCCCGCCAGTTTCGGTCCGTTCCCGCCACTCAAGTAGCTGGAAGTGCCCTCATGTTACTCATCTTCTCGGCCTCTCTCGCGCCATTTCTTGCTATCTCCCGCCTTCACGTCATCCCCCCTTCCTCCTCCTGCCTCAGCTTGGATTGGGTGTCTGAGACTCTCGTTTCGTTTACTCTCAGTTGTATTGTCGCCGCAGACGATCAGAGTTTGTTGGGTTTTCTCTTATTGCAGCAACGAACGCATTTACACGAGTGGAAGAGAGCGCGAGAGGTCGAGTAAGGGATCGACCTACAGAAATTCAAGACAATGTGTAAAACATTTTTATAAGTTGAGGGGATTTTGGTGTTCTCGCCGTCGTGCTGGGAGAACTGACAGCCGATGTGAATTAAGGAGCAGTACTGATATTGTAGTTCTCCGACCCTGCTAGACTCTATGATGGCGTCTTATCCTTGTGTTGCCTGGTGTTGAAGGAGTTTAGAGCTCCTGTGTCGTAGTGTTCTGTGCTGTTGGGGCTCGCAAGATACAGCACAATGTCTTCCATAGATGGGATCTTGCAGAAGCAATCTCCTGTTTTTGAAGACAGTGAAATGGCTGACCGAGGAATGTTGGGTTTCAGAAGTAGAAAGCCCAACTTTTCCAGTGTTAAGCCTGTGGGTAATAATGGAGTCGTTGGTTTCCGTAAGCGAGAGAATGACACACCAGCGGATGTGTATCTTGCTTCCCTAGAGGAAGCCCCTGCTCAGCTTCCTAAGAAGTAAGACCGCTCGCCTGATCTGATTATTGGTGGGACATATGTTGTATTCTTCAGAGTGCAAATGCATACTCTTCACAGTATAATTAGGTCAATGACGAATGTATGGACAATTTGAAATGGTGATGTATTTGCAGGTGTATCCATAAGTACCAGATGAGTAATCGAGGCTGACACCTGATTGTGCAGATATGCTCTGTTGGAATCCTTATACGATGACTTGGAAGCGGCCATTAGTTTTCTCGACATTCGTCGACAACTCTGCTCTTTCCAGGCTGTCTGTTCCACGATCGAAGCCAACACGAAGAGGTACAGCACGCCCTCTGCACTCCCATGTACACAGGACTTTGTTATGTGCGAACTTGCGTGCTATTTATGAATTAATATTCCTCCTGTTCCATTTTGGTTCATTTCACAAATTTGAATACGAAACTGTCTTTGCAGGTGCTTTCTGCAGAGGCGTTTGGCGCAGATTAAGCATATTCTTCCCGAAGCCATTGACCTTGAATATGTGCACCCACACGAACAAAATTCTCACAACAAGAAATATGAGATGAAGATCTCTCTGCTGCCACTACCTGCCGAAGCAGAGGTCCTACCAAGTACATTAGGGTGCTCTACCAAGAAACCTAAAATTGAGGCTGTGCAGCGAAGACGTGTATTTCGTGTCCGATTATCGAAATTCGCCTCCATTCATTCTGAGGTATTCAATATCTGAATCCTGGTCCACCTCGTTTGCCCCATGGTGGTTGTCGTATAAGGTTGTGAATTCTTAAAACCTCATGATGTACTCAGGACTTGGTTTTTGCTTTCAGGAGGATGATGTGCCCGAACACCCGTTGCCTCAACTTATATTCAGTGAAAACTCAGCTTCAAAGGGGGCCTACTCTGTAATGCCTGCTGTGACTACATGCATTGCCATGAGAATTAACACTGCTCCACATAGGGTGAAGCTGTCGGACTCGGAAATACTATTAGCTAGCTCTATGCACTTCTCGAAACCCTTCAAACCCAGTTTCTCTATTAAGTCAGTCAAACCGGCTGGCTCTTTTATTTCTAATGAGAGGCTTGCAGAGGTCTCGTCAGCATGTTCAAGATTGTCGAGTAATGTCCTCCCGATGCCCATCAACAGGACAACCCACAGAGATGTCCATAATGGGGCGGAGTTGCCGCTGGGAACATCGCATTTCACGCCTTCTTTCAGACCTTTCTTCTCCATTTCACGTAGCCTATCAGAAACTGTGTCAGCCAGTGAGGATTGTGCCAATGTCGCCCTCGCTACCGACGCTCCTAGCTCGTCGGTGGAACTCGAACCAGTTAAATGTCATCATGTTCTCCCAGAGGAGGAGCTTGAGATCGTGCAACCTGAAGAGCTCCAAACACCAATAAAACCTGTCCAGACATTTCGAACCCCTCAACGGTCCTCAACGGCCGTGTACAAGAGTGCCAAAAAGCGACCTCATTTCTCTATCGTGAACCAGAGTTCATATGCTTCAAATAGTCTTTTCAGCACACCAGCAAAGCCTTCCATGCGCGAGGAGGTCTCTGTTGAGTGGGATTTAAGAGCACCAGCACGGACGTCAAATGCCGTCGATCAATGTTCCCTGATCGAGGGGGAATGCGATGGACTCAAGACTCCAGTGAAGTCTTCTAGGACTTCGATGAAGTCGTCCAAGTATTGTTACACTCCTGGCACTCCGCTTAAATCTGAACGTGGAGACGGTTCTGTTTATGTTTCCTACCATGCTGACCAAGAAGAATTCCAGTCGCCTGATGCTGCGCCCATGAAGCATGCTTCCTCTGTACGATCCCTGAAGTTCAACTCCCCTGAGGATGACTCAAAAATTTCAGCTGTAACTGGATCCCTGAAGGCAGCTCTGTTCACTTCGCCTTGTCCCAGCGAGCCTTACATGGATGTCCCTTCCACTCCTGTGATTCCATCCAGGGCATTAAAATTCGGGAGAAAGGTTGCGATAAAACATACAAAACTGAACTTAGGACCTTTATTTGGCTCGGGCTTGTGAAGACGTGACAGGTTCAATTTGAAAAGTGCTGCTTCTCCGAGCAAGCCATTGGTGATCGATTCTAGCCGAACTTATGCCACACCCGAGGTCTTGTACCACATAAAGATTACCGACAGGAGAGATGTGCATGAGCGACTGAGGAGGCCTCCGTAGGTATATCACTAATTGGATACCCGCCAAAGAAATTTTATCATCCTGGTGATGAGGGTCTCTCTCTCCCCTCGTCCCATTGGCCTTGGGGATCTTCCATTTCATGTCGCGTGAGAAGAAGATTGTGCGAGATTAGTATTAACCGGTACCGCTTTCAAGTTAGTGGGAGTTAGGTTGTACAATTATATCAATTATTTTTGTAAATCAGGTTTGATCTCCAAACTTGTCGAAGCACTTGTGCCTCAAGATTGTATAGCAGATTGTCTAATGACAAACAATCAATGTCATGACAAATATCAACACACCAAACAAAGTTTGGCTCAAGTTTTAAGCCATTTAATTTGAGAATGTCCGCTTCCTCTGACCATCTCCGACGGGCCATGCCAGACTGATATTAAACAGACACGCATAGATCTTCTTGTTTCAATAAATATCAATACCTAACTGTGACTACACGAATATCTAAGACAGTTTAACCTCTACAACAAAATTGGTTAAATAATCAAGCCGACTTGGTGAGCTCACCTAGTTGGCTGTATGAACGGACTTTCCGGAAGACCCCGGTGCCAGTTCCCAGACGTCGGAATCATGTTCAGCTGCTTACCACGCCCTGTCGAAGACTGATTCTTCCAACTGCTTCCTGCAGCGAGGATGGGGGACGGGAATGTCGCAAGTCCTGTGCGGGGGAATCTAGCGCGTGCTGCTTTGTTCCGAGAACCAGCGTAGAACATTCAACAGGTGATGTGCTCCGGCTGTCCCCACTTCTTCGTTCCGCCCGACTTTTCCTCCCACATGAAGCGAAGCTGGCGCCGCTTCCAGCCTGGGACCCGACATTTCGACGTAGTTGTCTTGAATGCCGACTATACCCACATTGCTCTGCCCCCGTTCTACACGCAATTGCAGCGCGCGCGATACTCCATCTGGATTTGATTGAAGTAACTTGCTGCTAGTGATTTCTTGCGTGGGATTAGTACCGTCGCTCTTACAAGGATCTGTTAAAACTTCGGGTTGTACCCATCTCGAGTTCTTTCATCGTCGACGGTGGAACAGCGCCGCGCTGGATTATGTGATTTCAGAATTCATTTTGCAACCAAGGTCCGGCTTACGTCGATGCCACAGTGATGAATTCTACTATTTGGAACGACTGATCGGTGTCCGTTGTCGATTTCAATTGCTGCTGATCGTTGTGTGCAATAAGGGCAGGTTTCTGTTGCTTCGTTCCTTCGTTCCCTTGTCTTTTGTTTTCTGTTTTATTTATTTATTGTGTTTTGTTTTGTTTTCTCTATTTATTTGCTAGTCTTAAGAATTATCATTATGAATTGTATGTGATGTGTCGATCAAAATTCCAGTGCAGTGAAAATATGCCGATATAACCTAATGGAACTACAGTTGAACCCCATTTTACAGCGTTGTGAGTTGGTACATTCTGACGAAATCCATGAAATGGACTAATAGTCTGATTTAGGGTTTCATTTGATCATTACTGCATTGATTTACTTAGTTTACATTGTGATTGTGGTCCATATACCTACATGTCGTATAAGGTTTACGTTTGTAGCGACGGAATGTTGAAATAACTTTGAATTGTCGCACTCTACCATGAAAACAATTTTAAGCGCCACACCCATTCTACAACTACTGTTTAGTTGATATTGCTACCTATTGAAACCCTTCTAGTGTTATGTGTAGCTCCTGTTCTCCAATCTATACATTGACGGCTGCTAGTGAACTAGGCATTGACATCATCTTCATGTTCCAAGGACAGGTTACATGAATAGAGGTATGTCATGAGACTCCTTAGTGTTTATTAATGAGACATTCAAAAAAACGTCACCCTAGCTTCTCAATGGAGATTATGGCTGGGTTTTTGGTGCAGTGTTCTAACTCGTGGAGTGGTGTTAATCTTGGAATCACTTGTCAGCGCTTGTGTGTTGAGGTTGCTAGACCCAAAGTCTAGTTCATTGTCTGTTTGCGTTGATTTAGGGATCGTTAAATTTTGGATAGAATAATTTTTATGGAGGCTACTCTGAATTGAATTTGAGGAACTACCATTGATCTGGCGCTGTGTCAAGAAATTGGAATGTGAAGAACTCCGAGGTAACGTGACAGGAAATTCTCTTAGCTAAGTCTAGAACCATTTCAGGACTACCTGTACGGGTGCGTACATGCCTTCGCCACATGTATCCACGAACTAATTTTCTGGAGCTAGATTCTGGCAAGCATTTAATTCAATTGATGTTGTTTCGTAGACTCAGACTAGAACTTCAATGGTACAGCTGAGATTTTGCTGCGTGAGTTCCAATTGCGATCCATGGCCTATTTACTGATTGATGCTCATTAGTCCTTCGGTGATGCGGCTTCTATATGATGCTGCTGGAAATGTCAGTTTCTGCATGAATTTTTCCTGGTCTAAAAAGCTAGGAAGATAATCATGTCGGAGTAGCTAGTAAGAATTTGTGTTGGGTGCAAGGCCTATCATGATGTCCGGCCGGTGGTCTGTAATATGATTTGCAATCGCTGATAGAATACTACCATCAATTCAGTTTAAGCATTGAAAGAGCCAAATTTTATGATGTTGCAGATTGTTTATGCTCCAAAAATTACATGCCGAATCATTACGAGTGCTTTGATCCGCTGGAAGAATTGAAGCTTTCCCTTGTATTTTGAATTTTGTTGTTTCAGGATATTATTTAGGACTTCATGAGCTATATGGTATCTCTTGGAAAGAAAGCCATTTACATCCAAGTACAACTGGATTTGCTGGAGTTTTGAAATTATCGCAATTATCTGAGTAAATCAGACGTTGAAAGATGGAAAGTTTGAAAGGTGGTGACAATCTTTCCAAACGTAAGATAATCGTGGGACTTGATTTTGGTACCACGTTTTCTGGGTTTGCCCACGCACATACTGACGATCCAGAGAAAGTTTACGCGAATTATGTGTATCCAGGAGGAGTAAGTAACACATACCCTAAAACCCTGACATCAAGCTTTTACGTAAAACAGGGCGAGACCGGAGTTAAGTGGCAGTTCGAAAACTGGGGATATGGTGCTCGTGAAGCGAATTCCCGAAATAATCGCAACCGAAAAGCTAAGGTACCAGCAGTATATCTTACAAAATTTAAGCTGCACCTAGCAAGCAAAGGTTTCGGGGCACCATCGGCAACACCACTTCCACAGGGGCTTACAGTGGATGTAGTAATTACCGATTATTTGCGCAGGATAGGCGAGCTAATTGTCAATATAATTCGAGATGGTTACAGTGGTGAACTGACCAAGAAGAATATCCAATGGTGTGTGACTGTTCCATCTATTTGGAACAATGATGCCAAGGCAGTCATGAAATCCTGCATGACGAATGCTGGTTTGGTGGGTGGGGTCGATGGAAGTCACCACCCGCTCATCCTGGTATTGGAACCAGAGGCTGCATCCTTTCATTGTTACAAGGTCATGAAGGAACAGATTCTCGAGGTTGGTGACAAGATCTTGGTGGCAGACATTGGGGGAGGAACCTCCGACATTGTTGTGCAGGAGGTCGTTTCTGTCGGTGAATGTTACAGAGTGAAGGAATTGACGACCAGCTCCGGGGGCTTGTGTGGCGGTAGTTACGTGGATTCTAAATTTATGGAGTTTCTACATAGAAAGATTGGACCCTGCTTGCAGAACTGCATAGACAAGTATCCCGAGGTTGAAGAGACGTTGATCAAGAATTGGGAAGTTAAAAAAACTGGATTCGGCTTATCAAGAGAATCTAGCACTTTCGTCGGCCTTCCTTCCAAATTGGCAACAGAGTGGGAGGAACAGGACGACAAAAATGGTGAATTTGGAAGGGAATACGACGAAGTAGAGATCACAGATGAGGAGATGCAATCAATTTTTGATCCCATAGTTGATCAGAATCTGGCTCTCATCGCAGACCAATTGGTTCAAGCGAATGGAGTAAAGATCATTGTTGTGGTTGGAGGATTTGCAGAATCGAAATATCTCATGGGCCGCATTAAAGCTAGATTTAAAGAGGAAGTGCCACACATCATCCACCCACCCAACCCTGCTAGTGCGGTAAGCCTTGGCGCTGTTGCATTGGCATTCAACCCTGGTACGATCGTATCTAGAGTAAGTAGAAAAACATATGGTTTTCACTGTTTGCGTAATTTTGAAAAGGGAGTTGATCCGCCCGAATATCTTGAACTTATCGACGGAGTTTCGAAATGCTATAACCGTTTCAGTGTCTACGTCAGAAAGGGTGACATTGTTTATGTGGACGATTGCATCAGCAAAACCTTTTTCCCTGGAATGCGTGGGCAGCAAAAGATACAATTACAACTTTTCAGCTCTGATGAGATTAATCCAAGATACACAGTAGGGGAGACAATTAAGAAGGAAGGTGAAATTGAAATTGACATATCGTCGGACATGAAATTGGATAAAAAACGTGAAGTGAAAGTGTCTCTCTTCTTTGGACGATCTTCCATAGAAATTAAAGCAGAGGCTATGAACTTTATTAGTTCAGGACCTCAACAATTGGAGCTTCCTGTTGTGATTGGCTACAACCCAGAAATACTTTTGGGGTTGCAGAGTGATGGAGATGCTGGGGTTAATACAGACGACCTACTCTCAGCTGGAGTTGATAAGGTAATCTACTTGTGACATTGTATGGAATTGTATCTCTTGTAATTGGCTTGTGTAGGAGTATCTTTACTAGCCAAGAGAAGGTACTTGGAGTAATCCTAAAAGTATACATGATATGGCGATTCATTTCCCCCTCTTGCAGTGCTTTTTAGGTCGAGCGCATAATATACTACGTTCTCAAAGATGTCATATTTAGTATTTGGTTTCGGTCCTATCTCTTTAACCTGAATTTACTTCTTACAGAAAGCCGTCTACAACCTGTACAAGATAAAGCCCAACCAAATGGGTTTTTCCATCGATTCTAGAAACGGATGTGAGTTCATTGACGATGAAGCACAGGTGATTGAAGGGTTGAACCAAGTGGTGTCCCAGCTTGTTAACATGAAATTAACGAAGCAGAGGGATTCTGCTGAACAAATTGCGAAAGTTACGGATGAGGTTCTCCCAGAACCTCAGGTGGTAGTCGGTCTGGATTTCGGCACTATGCACTCTGGGTTTGCCTACGCACAGTTCAACAATCCTCAAAGGATTTACACTCATTGGGACTATCCGAATGCAGCACATGAAGCTCCATCGTGCAAAACCCTGACCAGTAACTACTATAAAAGACAATCTGGCGGGGAAGGTAGGTGGCAGCTTATGGCTTGGGGTAACAGTGCTTATGCATTGTACGCACGAGATACTCACCAGTCTAACCTTGTGAGTGATACTCTATCACACCCTACTATCGGGATGTATGTAAGTAGATTCAAGTTGCACCTGACTAGCAGAGCTACAGGGAGTTCGTCACTCGCTCCACCACTTCCACCAGGACTTACGCTGGAAGTAGTAATTACAGATTATTTGCGTGAAATGGGTGCACTAATTCTTGAGACTTTGAAAAAACATTACGGAGATGAATTCACCAAGAAGATGATCCAATGGTGCGTGACTGTTCCATCTACTTGGGATAATGCCACCATTGTTCTAATGAAATATTGCTTGACAGCTGCCGGTTTAGTGAATGGGGTTGATGGTAGTCCTCACCCGTTCGTTGTGGTTCTGGAACCCGAGGCTATCTCCTTCAGTTGTCACAACGTCGTTTTAGAAGACAAAAACCTTGAGGCTGGTGACAAGATCTTGGTCGTTGATATAATCGAGGGAACCACTGATGTTGTGGTGCAGGAGGTTGATTCCATGGAGTTTGTTGCTCTTGATCAGAGCAAAAGAGATAAGTCTATGGATGATGTATTCCGAGTGAAAGAAGTGACGAGTCATTCGGAGCCTTTATGCTTCTACTCATACTTGAACGCTGGATTCATGGAGTTTCTGCACAAGGCTATTGGACCCTGCTTGGGTGTGTGCTTAAACCACCATCCTAAAATTTTTGCCCAGTTGACTAGATTACTTGAGCCGTTGATGTCTACCTTCGGTGACTGGACTACAGATGGAGATAGCACAGAAATTTCTCTCCCAAAAATATTATTGAAAGAATGGGAGCGCTACGACAAGAGGGAGGGTAAGTTTGCAAGGGAGTCTTACGACGAGTTAGAGATCTCGTACGAGGAGATGCAATCCATTTTCGATCCAGTGGTAGAGCAGCTTGTAGGACTCATCGCCGAACAATTGGAAGTAGTGGGTGGTTTCAAGGTTCTAGTCTTGAGTGGCAGGCTTGCAGAAGTGCCATACGTCATGGAATACATTAGAAGAATCTTCGGGGGTCATATACCACAGATAATTTCCCCCAGTAACCCTGACAGTGCTGTATGTCAGGGTGCAGTGGCAATGGTTCTTAACCGTGGCAGTGCAGGTATGTCAAAAACATGTAGAAAGACGTATGGTTTCAAAGGCATGAAATTCTTTGAGAGAGGGGTCGACCCTGATGAGTACCTCCTGGAGATCAACGGAGTGGACAAGTGTGCCAACCATTTTCAAGTCTTTGTGAAGAAGGGTGAAACAGTGACCGTGGATTCTAGTATTAGCAAAATTTGTATGCCAACACAGTCTGGTCAGAAGAAGATGAAGGTTGAACTTGTGAGCTCCGACAAACTAGACCCCAGGTACACCATAGGAGAGACAGTTAGACTAGAAGGTGAGATTGAGCTTGACATATCAGAGGACATGAAGTTGGACCAACACCGAGCAGTGAAACTCACTGTCTACTTCCGGAAGTCGTCTTTGGAAGTCGTAGCAGAGGCTGTGAACTTTGTGAGCTCATCCAGCCCTCAGCACTTGCATCTTCCAGCTGAGGTTATGGGCTATTACTGAGCAAATTCTTCTTATTCGAGGAAATTAATGTATCAAATTTGTTTTTGTCACCGAAATTGGCCATGATATTCAGCATTGTCATATTGTCATTTAGATCTAGTAAGCACAGTGTGATCTTATGCGGCCACAGCTTATGCTCAGTTCTGACAATACTAGAAGTTAACAAAACGTCATACACGCATGCCACCATGCACAGAGATTTTCACGTAGTATGCGTGAAAAATCAGCATTTGTTTCCAAGGTTGATTTTTGGTATCTTTGTGGGTCTTGATGAATGGCTCTGTGGATGACACTTGGAGTGTTTTATAGAGGAGTGTTTTAAAGAAGAGTATGTTACATTTTAAATTACTGAACTGCCAAGTATAGTTATTTATGGTTGTATTATTAATTGAAAAGAAGCATTTCATGATTATCAGAGCAGAAAAGATGATGGACAATTTATTTGCATCTCGGAAAATCAGGCATGTCCAAGTTTTTAAAGCCGAACAAGAATAGATTTAAAGAACTTGTAGAATGAGATAAAAATTATCATGGTCAATTAATGAATTACAAATATGATTGTTAAACTTTTTGAAATTTGTATGCTTTGTCTTCTTTTGGATGTACTGGTGTTCGAAGCCAAAGGAATTCCAAGCAATTAAAGCAAACTTAGAAAAGAAAAAATGTCTCTAGTTACAAAATTGTGATACATACTTGAAAATTAGAAAAAAAATATAAAGAATAATGGGAAAAACAGTTTATGTGGACACATATGATGGAATAATAGCCCAAAGAAAATTATCATCATCATGCCAAATGAAAAAAGTTAATTGCAGAATCGACACAACTGTACTAAGAAAATTGTTGAAATATAGAATGATATTAGTGGTGACTTTGTTCTTAAATTGACAAGAGAGTGCTGGAAGAGTTGCTAGAAAGTTTATAGTGCAGCAAAGTTCATAAATGTAATATGTTCCTCAAGAAAACTTCTTGAACATGTAAAAATAAAAGTTATTGGTGGTTCGGTAGAATCGCCACGTAGGACCGACTGCCACGTGGGATCGACCTCCCCGCCGCGGTGAAGTGAAGCGAGGGCTGCGTTGCGAAGGAAAGCTTGGGATTCGCCATGGCTATGGCTGGATCTCGGCGGATGGGCCTCCTGGCCCTGCTCCCCTTGCTGTCCAATTCTCACGACGCCGTTCTCTCTCACTCGAATGCTTACGGTGCGAGTTCTTAATCCTGTTCCCGTGGGTTGAGGTTTCGATTTTTATGGGTTAGAGATGGGATGGGTGGATGAATTTGCGGTGTTGCAATGGGGCATTCTGTGACATGTCAAATTCTATGGGTAGTTTCTATGTGCGTGTGTGCGTTTGTTTCTTGAGCTACTGCTGGTTCAATCTGATCTCGTGAGGAACAAGGTTTGAGTTTTAGGGTTTTGGTCGACAATCCAGAATTGGGGTTGTCTGTGTTCGTGTTTGCCTACAGTTAGCAGCATCTGAATGGAAGATCTAGTTCAGGGTTGGAAACTAGGGGTGGCACGTTTGGGAAATGGGTTCCATTACACTTAATTATCTAGTCTACGTTGTCGACATTTTTCAAGATTTGGGGGTTGTGCGTTGATTGCTGTTGGGTTCTTCGACTGTAGATTCTAGTTGCTGATGTATTGCATGTGTAAGATATGGTGTAGTTGTATTCCAGAGGGTTGGTTGAAAGGTTCAGTACAGCTTCGATGTGCGTTCAGGGTCCAAAGATGTATCCACCGTCCAACGTGTTTGCATTACTACGTAGTTGGATCTGAATGGGAAGAAAATTGGGGTAGCAGAGAAGAATGTGAAGGAGCCCTTCACTGGCATTGAGTTTGAACAACAGAAGCAGATTGACAATAATGATTATCATTTGCAAGCAACTGCAGTCCGTTGCATGCTGGGCCAGGTTTTTCCTCTTCCTTCAGCCCGAACAGAACACTTGAAACCCATGATTACTGAAAGTCGCAAGAACTTATGCAGGAGTACGCTTGTTCAGATTAACACATCAGTGATGGCATCATTTTCTCTACATCCTACACACCAGATTTTAATGCGTTTTCTTCATTGTGGTTGCTCATCGGGAGGTTGTTAATATGCACATTGGATCATACTCATTATTATCTATGGTTGGATGACAGTGCAAGATGGCAATGGCCAGGGCTTACGCAATTGGGTTGTACACGGAAGACAAACAGCCTGTGAGAAACTAAGTTCATTTTTTTGACATGTCTGGCATTATTGCTATCGATAACAAGGATGTCACAGGATACAAATCCCTAGGGCACTTTAGAAGCCAATCACTTGTCCTTCGCTGGTTTGGGTGATAAAATATGTGTCTCGACAAATAAAGAAAAGTCTCTGCGCTCAATATAAAATATTACTGCCGATCATCTGTCGTTTTGCATTATTGTTGGTGATAACTTAACATTGTATGCTTGGTCATTAAGCACTGAGTTATGACAACACACATGCAGTACCTAATTGACCAGGGTCTTACGTAATGTTTGTGAATAGGTTAATGAAACTGCAGTGTTGACTGGGGCGATGAATCGTATTCTTGTACTTGTGATGGATAAGGATGTTGCAGGCCACCATATTGCTAAGGTTTACCTTTTACCCATTTTGAGCTGAATGCGTCTACAAATGTTCTGCAGGAATGGCGACTGACTGTATGGGTGATTGAGTTTGAAACCTTGTCCTGTAGCTCGATGAGAGTGATGGAATATATCATGGGATGTCTGACTTCGGTCATGGTTTGTGAGTAGGGCTTCGACAAGTCATTATTGCCTCGAATTCGTAAAGCACAGGCCGGATCAAAAAGAGGATCAGGCAAAGATGCAGTAAGTGGCCGATCATTTGTATCTGTCAGTTTATTTCCTCTGTATAATAGTCCATGGGACGTATTCTCTACCCAGATTTAGACCTTCCTTTTGATTTGCCGTTTCTTCCGTTGCTTCCTTTTTGTGTATTTATGTGTTCTAGAAGCTGCACCATGTAGTCTGTATGATGTAGCGGTGACTTTATCATTGATCAAGCTCATGTAGAACAGTTACGGGACTTCACGAAATGTTTCAATCGTGAGAAGACGTTGAAAAAGGGTTCAGAAGTTGCGCTGGTTTGTGATCTCTCCTTTGTTTTAATGTCAACATTCGCTCTTGCAGTGTGATTTCTATTCATTCATTTGATAAACTGGAAACATCACAATAGATGTAGCATACTTGAAAGTTTCTTTGTGAAATAATTTGAGCTTTTGATGGTCTGTTCAGTTGAATTTGACATCCGTGATGTTTGATGTGGATAATGTACAGTTGTGGACTCCAGACAACAAGCTTGTCGTATATTTTGATAATCAGTGGGTTCCTTTTCCTTGTGTTTGTTTAGCAGCTCGTTTATTTGCCTACTGCTCAGTAGCTAGTATGGGCTGATCATATAATTTAGAGAATGGTTCAAAAGATTCTTATTTTTGTTCGTTTCATGTGTGTGTATATATATATATATATATATATATATATTTGTGTGTGTGTGTGTGTGTAAAATGTTAGAACCCTTTCATGTTAAAGTCTGACATGGTTTGGATGTGGGTGCAGGATGAGGGCAGTGATAGAGTCGCCCATTTTATGTCGGGCTGTTTTTGACATGTATCTAGGCGAAGATTCCATCTTCCGGAAATACCGAAACATGTCATTTACTTTCCACGGTGGCGCCGCTTCCGAAACATAAGTGGCCTGATGCTTATCAGTTCGTGCACAACTGAGACAATTTTCTTACTGGAATGTGCACTTGCGTTTATTTTCTCTAAGTTTTCTTCGAGTTCTGAATGATCTTGAAGGTGGGCTTATGATGGTAACCTTAATGAAATGCAAGGTTTTCTTGTTGGCCACTCACTAATCTTGGACAGTCTCTTGTGATTTGTATTATATAATACATTTATTCACATAACCTATGTAGCTTAAAGTTGTTCCTGAAGTTAGATTTGGGTGATGCTTGTACAGAATAAATGGTCTCCTACTGCACAAATTGTGTACCTGGTGATGATCGCGGCTGCTGCTTCGTTATAAATTCCAAGTTTTTTGGAATAATATGCATAGAAGTTTCTCATGATTGAATTAACCATGGTGGAATGCCTGAGTTGAAACTTCTACTCGGGTTCTTCCAGGCCTTGAATGATGTATGATGAAAGCAATTGTTGAATTGCGCTATTTTGTGGTTTCGTGAAGGTGGTTGCGGTCATCTTCCCCTGTCAGATGAATAACAGAGGAAACTCGTTTACGGATTGTTATCCTCGAAGGACCTGAAAACTTACCTATTCAAACACCTAAATCCTGCAGTTTGGAATACTGTTGCTCACGCACTTAAACAACATTTAATAATTGCGTCGCTCCGTTAATCGGTATGTTATACCTCAGCCAACATGCTGCTTTACTCAACGTGTGCACAGCTTTTCTGGTCGCCAAGCATTTTTGCACTCTACAGTAGAAGACTTTAGACCTTGAAATCGGTAATCCGTTCGGAGCATTGTCGATATTCAAGTGCATTTTGGTATGATAGTTTCATTTGCTCTTAGTACATTGGAGACTTTTTATCTCCGAAATAGACCTCTTACATGTAAAGACATGTTCCGTGTTGGGGTAGTGCTCGACGTGAACCGAGACTCTGGGACTTACGAGCATCAGGAAATCGGCGCGCTATGTTTTTTACGAAATTTACTAATTTTGCAATTACTATATGGTGGGACCCATGGTCGGCTGTGACTGGCTTCCAGAAATAGATTTTTGTCAAACGCACCTTGCACAATAGAACATGGACTGTTTGTAACATGAGTTGGCTCCCTTTGATTACATGCTTTGCTCTTTTCCAAGAGCTTCATCACAATTCTGAGATCCAATAGCTCCAGGCGTTCATTCTCTATTCAGGAGTCTTGAGCTCCATCGATTGCTGGAGGAGGGTTCCAGTGTCGAAGTCATGAATTTGTTGCAACTGTCTGGAAAGTTCAGGAATCTTCTCACTTACAGTCTTGAAATGTGTCATCCACTCGAGTCGTCTGAATAATCAGTTTCGCAAACTCTATGCGCGATTTATTTAACAAAGAGCGATTTCTCACATCTGCAGTGCATACTGACACATAGAAACTTCTCATTTGAAACCTTCAGTTGTAGATCTGTGCGTAGATCGCAGTCACTTCTTCTAAGAGAACTTAGAAATAGCAAATTCATTCACAGGTTCACGTGAGTGCAGATGCAAACGGAGCCGGTTAGTGTGGGTCCAAGAACTTCGCACTACTTTGTGGGTCTGATTACAATCACTGCGTAACACCCAAGAGCTTATGACATGTAAGGACGTTGAATGACAGCATGCTCGGTGCAATGTTGTATTCTCAGTCCAAGAGTGTTTTGATTTCGCTGATAGCAAAGGGGGTTGGGCTGCGAAGCAGCAACTCTCGTATTCAGAAACCATGAAGTTTGGAAGCGATTCCAAGAGGTTACAGTGCACTTGTGGAGTTGCCACTACTCTACTCTTTATGGTTTTGTGCACTCTATTTACCTTCGGCACTGTAGATTTTGGAGTGGATACATATCCATTCAACAGCCAACAGAAGGGTTTGGAGTGGATGTTTGGTTCGAAATCAGACGTAATCGCGTACAGTAAAAGTGTACCTCATTCTGTGTCTGTAGCGAGGGAGGCACAACATACGTGGGAGGGATTGAATCCACCCTCCCAACCTCCAGAAAACGTACCCACCATGGAACTAAAAGAAGTGTACAATGTGACGCAATCTACAGAGATGGTGCACGTTGCGCCTGCCCCACTGGAAGAATTTATTGATTCAGTCGAAGCCTTGAATGGTGATGTCGATGCAGTGGAAGCTGCTCCTCCCTCTCATGTAGAATATGACAGCGATTTTGCAGATGCTTCACTGGACGGGGATCGTCTGGATTCAGTGAAGGCTGAGCCGTTCTCTGAAGATTCTGAACAAGAATTCAATGCATCGGCGATCAACTTGGACCCCAACGAGGATGTGGTTCTTGAAACTACCGTTGTGTCGATGGGATTGAAATACGACGCATGTTTGTTAGTGATTCTGGGCAGGAGGGCACAGGCCGATCGACAGGCCCTGCCCTATGAAGAGCTCTACAGACTGTTCAATGCCGCAAAGAGGCCTTGGAAAACCTTGAGGGACAAAAAATTGCTCGTAGGGACCGACTCTCCAACCATTTTTTGCAAGATGGTTCGAGACTCTCTGGGTCCGGCGGCTGCTTGCTCCAACTTCAACAAATTCCAAGTCGAGAAGAAACATGTAAGCATGTCAACTTACGATGGCTGCTTCCATCTTCACCATGCAAATGCATGTATATGCCGGAATTCTAAAATTACAATTTTTTAATCCAAATTCTATTTTATAGTCTCCGCAGTGCAAGCTTCTGATTGTCGGAGAGACGAAGAGGTATACTCAACACCCATCACTCAGCCTATTGCGGAAGTCTAATTTGCTCTGGGATTCGGAGGAAATCGTGGATCTAGACGTCGAGGACCCTGAAAGACAACCTCCACTCTTACCCGAATCGCAATGGCGACCCACCGTAGTGACTACCTTCAGCAGCAACCACGTTGAAGTCGGCCTCCTCCTGCTTAGATCTCTCGGTAGAATTGCAGCTCAGCAAAACAAGTACAACATTTCAGTGGTGGTTTGGACGATGAACGATTTCCCGAGTGTTGCCCGAAGAACTTTGGCCTGTGTGGTGCCGGAGCTCCAAACTTTGTACAAAGTTCCCACGGAGGTTCGAGAATTTGATTTTAGTGCCTGGCCGAGTTGGATGCGTATCAATCAGAAGCGTGCTTACAATGGCGGAAGAGGTCACACCTTCTGATCCATTTCTTCGTGCGAGAGGATTAGGGCTTTGAAAATTGCAACACTAATTGTCAGCTGAGCATCCATCGCTGTTCGGAGACGTGGCTTTATTGGGTGAGTACGCGTGGAAGGCAGTAATGATCCACACTGTCTTGGTGGAACGGGGGTTTGTCTACTGGGCAGATGCCGGAAATCGTTTCCGAACCGTCAACGGACTAATCCTAACGCTAAATCACGTAAGACTGAAAGGGTTTGCATCACGGTTGTCCGGCGGGCGCGTGAAGAATTGGTGCCATGTGAAGCAGCTGGAGTATTTTGGCGCAAACAAACCCGCCATAAAAAGGTTGCCAAACTGCGACGCATCAAGTATTGGCTTCACTCTCCTTAGGTGCACACACCCACACAAATACATAATTATTTATATATGTATGTATGTATGTAGAGGATTCTGCTTTTTTTCCCTGCACAACTCATGAACTTTCACCCAAGCACGAACCTGGAAGCCTTCAGAATTAGTAATGAATACCTGTTTGTTGCCACCTACAGTTACACCAGGTTAGTAAGGCCATGGTACGAGTGTTCAATCACCCGGCAATGCATTGCTCCTGATGGAACAAGTCGGAAGAACCACAGACAAGACCAGTCTGCTCTCACCGTGCTCGCAGCACTGTCCGGAGATAGATGCGCAGGAGTGGATTCCGGAATCAGCAAGCAAATGGACAGCCACCCTAGGAGCTACATGGTCGGTGTCTCCACAACTCACTGCTACAAGGATCCGCTCAACATAAAATGGCATTGACCACCGTCCCGCTCATCAGTCTTCTTCGGGAATCTCCCAGAACGTGCAAGGAGCCGCTATACATTCATAAACACCCAACATTTGTGCTTCACTGGGAGTTGGGAGGAGACACAGCTGAGCTTGCTTCACTCTTGCAACCCAATCTTGCTTAGATCATCCCCACCAGCAACACAATTCCCTCAGCGATTGCTGATGTTTGTAAACCTCATAAGGAAACTATCTGCACTGGCTGCAGTAGAGAATTTCATTTCCTATTCCGTGGGTTCGAGGTTACGAATCCGAGTGCTCTCAGAGCTGGTCACCTCGACGTAATTGTTCATGCGGTGGCCCATTCGAAGATGCAGGATCTCATCGTCTGTATGTACACACAATTCCTGCACGTCTAAGCTTTGCACCGATTCTTCGTTATCGATACAAAGCTGGCTCAGGTAGATAATTTTCCAAGCCGTGACTCGTTCTTCATTTTGTATCAAATCACTCCTTACTCGAAATTATCAAAGACAACAACACTTTATTCAATAGAAAAGTCTTATATATCATGTAGAAGTTAATCTTTCTTGTAACTCATTAGTTACTAAACTTCACCACCATAGCACTCAGTCCTTATGCTTGCTTGCTGTGATTGTCTACAGCAGTTATAATGGGTACCATCTTTTACACTAGTGCACAACAACAATGCAATTTCCACTTGCAAAAAATAGTGTTTTCAGGTCTTGCAGACGTTAAGGGTGCAATCTCTTTGCAAGCTCTTTTGGCAAGGAAGGGTCTCCACTTCGTTCATGTAACCTGAACTCAACCCATGCTGATATTATATGTGCAAGTTAGTAAGTTTTTTAGTCTGATTCTTTTGAGAAGCAATGAATTGAACTTTGGTTAGCGTATTTGAATCAAAGGATGAATTCCAAGCATGGTGAAAGTCATATAAAGGTATCATCTTTTTGTGGTCCAATGCATTTTATGTGTCATTACTATTTCAACCTCATAAATGTAAAGATGTCACTCTTGAGTGACTTCTTTTGTTTATACTCAATTTATTAAGTCATCCCCAAAATGTTTACAAACTACTCCTTTTGGATTTTTGAAAATGAGTTAGGAAATATTTGAGAATATACTTATATTTTTCTAAGTAGTATTGTGTGGATCCAATTTGATTATGCCACAATATTCTACTAAATGTAGAGTAAGTTTCTTACAACCAAGTCTTTGTCACCAAGTCAAAAAGTGACATTGAACTTGTCTCCTTCTGGTCTTGAGACATTATATGACAATGCTTACAATTTGATTAAAAGAATCTATGAAAATCAGAAATGATTTTTTGAGCTTATTTAAATAATAAGAAGAAGTTTTAAGACCTTGTAGTGGAGTAGAAATTTCTACTAAGTGGTTCTAGAGTTTCTTCAGAACTTTGCAATATCACCTTGAAAGAATTATTATTATTATTATTATTTATTTTTTTAAAAATATTACCAAGTCCTCAAGAACCATATAAAAGAGCACGATTTTTAATATCCAAGTAAGGTATATGAATTTTTTCCAAAATACTAAACGAAAATATAGAAGAACTTTAATTCTTCATTAATTTTTTTCTATTTAAAAAAATATCTTATTACATAATTTGGTTCCCTCTAATCTTTTCATTAAAATAGCTTATTTAATACAATACAAATTAAAAAATTGATTTTTTTTCATTTATACTTTATTTTCGATATTTCTTCTTTTATCTCATTTAGATTTCTATTTAAGAAAAAGTATAACTTTGAATTTCTATAAAAAATTTCATATTAATAATAATATAATTTATTATTTTAGAAAAGTGAATGTAAATAGTTATAGATTGAAAAAATAAGATTTTTTTTAAAATAATGTAAAAATAATTAATAAAATAATGGAATAAAAAAATTGAAGAAGTTTTAGTAAGAAATAATATTAAAAAATAAAAATATGTAGATATAACACATGTGGTTAGAAAAGCATATGTACATTGCAAAGCTTTACAGGCATAAATAAGTATTTGTATAGAAAATATAAAATTCAATAAAAACAATCTTACATTATTTCTGTTACATTTTTTGGTAAATAATGTATTGTGCACTAAAAATACTTAATGAATTTATACATTTATACCCTACTTGCAGGAATTTGTTTTTAAACTTTTTGAAAGCTCTCAGACATAAAATTGTATTTTGAATTTATGGTTACTAAAAAATTGAAATAAAAACCAAAATCCATAAGCTTCAACAACAGAAATAGAAACATATTCCAACATGAAAGTGAAACCAGCTTTGATATCCGGACCCGAAGAAATGTGCAACGCCGCAACAAACTGCACAACAACTAATGTAACAACCCTACAATTCCAAATCTCAAACGCTCATTCTTACACAAAGCACTGTAAAAGCTAAAACAAAACAGTCTCAATGAAGGGTTTTCTTCCTCAATTCTTGTCACGTATTTATATATATATATATATATATATGTGTGTGTGTGTATATATACAAATATATGTATTTCTTGTTGGTTTTAAGTTCTTGTGGTTCACAGTGGGCAAAATGCACTATCTCTATGCTACTTTCTAGCATCGTGGTTGACTTGGCGGTGCCGAGACATATCCGGTTCAGTTTCAAAGCAACACAGACAATAAGTTGAACTGGGAAAAGTCAACGTCGACATCGCAGTCTGTCAAGCCTGATCGGCGGTCAAAGCGAGCGTTTCTAGAAGATTGAAATAACGGAACTGTGCATGGTTTGATTGATTGTGCTAAGGGTGAAGAAGTGAATGGTCGCAAGCACGGGCGGAGGGATTGATAATACAGAAGAAGAGCGCGGCACTCGGGGGGTTCCAACAATGAGTTGGCAGCTTTACTTCAAAGGCAAACAGGAGGAATTCGATGAGAATGAGGACCAGATAAAAGCAGGCTCATCGGTTCCGTCAATTGTAGAGGCGCCTGAATGTTTACTTATCCCTGAGCTAAGGCTAGACTGATCGCTATACATTACATCGCCGCAGGAACGGTAATAAATTTACAGATATGGGTAGGGAGGAAGTGAGGGAGGGAGGGGGGGACTTTGATTTGACGACAACCGGTAACAGGTCTCAGACAGACTCACTGAAAGACTCATGAGGGAGAACTTCATCGACATGTTGCGAGTATCGATCTCACAAGTTAATACCAGGACTTGGTGCACAGCCCAGTGTGTGTTCAGGGAGAGCCGCATGGGGTTGTTGTTGTTTCTAAGCTCTCATGGGACTCATATCCATGGGATAACTACCTAGAACTCTTAAGAAAGTGGCGAACTCTTGTAAATGTCCCAAAGCGTTCTGGGCGCGGACGTCGGCCATGGATGCCTCAAAATCGATGTAGAAGAGGTAGTCGAAGTACTTGGCGGAGCCGTTGTTGCTGTCGTCGACAACCCGCAGTGGTCTCTTCCGCTGAGGCCGGCTTTCGATTTTTGTGAGATTGATGTCCCGGAGGGCGAAAACTGAGAGTGCCTTGAAGAGGACGCCAGGTCCTTCCTCCAAGGTGAACACGATGCTGGTTTTGAATTTTCGGTCGGTTCTGGGCATGACGGGCTCCCTGGCAAGCATGAGAAACCGGGTAACGTTATCCAAATCGTCTTGGATCCCGTCCATCAAAATTTCGAGTCCGTAAATCTCCGCAGCGCGGGCGCTCGCAACAGCTCCCGTATCGCGGAGGTTGTGAGCGGCGATGAATTGTGCTGCCCCAGCTGTATCGTCTACCGCTTCGCGCGTGACGCCCAATTTGGTCAAAGTCTGCTCGCACTGCGCTAGAGCTTGAGGATGACTCACCACTCGCTGCAGTTCCTCCTTCTTCACACCCGGAATGCCCATGAGGCAGTGGTGAATGCCGAGCTGCACTTCGCCAACTATGTGCAAGCGATGACGGAGAAGAAGGTCGTAATTGCGATGGATGCTGCCTCCTAGGGAATTTTCTACCGGTAACACCGCTCTGTCCACCAACCAGAGCTCCACCGCCGAAAATGCTGCCTCAAACTGCTCGCATGGAACTGCTTCACAACGCGGGTACGCCTTTGCCGCTGCTGCTTCACTGTACGCCCCTGGAACCCCCTGATATGCAACTCGCAGATCGGCAGTTTCTCGCGGCGGTAGTACACCGATATCAGTTATAGACAATGGCTTCGGCAGGTGCAAACTCACCATCTGACTAGTCGACACTTCCAGAGTGGTTCCATTCGACGCCGCTTGCGTGTCCAAAACCTCCTGAAATTGCGTCAAGCCATGCTCTGGCTCAGACTTATCCTCCTTCCGACTCGCCCCATTTTGTGTCACCTTCTGCAGAAAAGCGTTCGATGCTGGCCATGAACTGGATGCAGCAGCTCTGCAGCTAAGGGCTTTCTTATTGTCGCTCGTCCTCTGCAACACTATCCGTGTGGCCGTTCCCAACCATCCAAGCGTCTTCTTTCCATTCGGCGCATTTCCGACTATGGGAAACGATTCAATCCTCAACAATTTATCGCCAGGGCATATCTTCAACGCCATGGTGCTTGATCTGCCGCTGTAGCCCAACAGTACCAGTGAGAAAAATCTTACAACTTACAAGCTGATTCAGGTTGCTAATCACCACGCTAATTACAAAGAGTGGTTCTTCCCACCCTACGGCCTTTCCCCTGGAGTACGTAGCACTGCACACGAAGGGCGCGACAAAGAAGATTTTACCAAACACACGCCAACAAAATTGTCAATCTATGAACTTCTCACACTCTGTAGCGCAGATTAACAAGCGGATTCCTAAATTCCACTGAGTTGCGCAAACACAGAATTCAGGTAGTTCCAAGGGGTTTCTTTAAAAAAACTACTGATGATCATTGCAGACCTTGAGTCCACTCACATCTAGCACTTCTTATGAACACTCCTGCTCACAACCTACACTAAGATTTGTCCGTGCCGAGGGTATCAGGCCCAAGGAAAAAAGTTTGTGTAGCAATCTACGCACTTATGCAAGGCATCACACAAATTCACAAACACAACAGAAAAACTAGTCGCATCTCTCTTGAACGAACATCAACTGGAGATGAAAGATCAAACTTCCGTGAACAAACTTGCCCTACGCTACACCCTGGCTGAGGCACTTTAGAAATCGGACGTCTCGGAGCCAAAGAGGCTCCCCCAGCAACACGGATAACGGCAACTAGGAATGAATTTCAAGGGAAGCGCTGTGGAGCTCTCCCAACTGCACATGAAACACAAGCGTCGAAGGGGGGCGAAAGCAGAAATGGTGCAGATCGAGGCCTCTCGGAGGCTGCGCTGTACAGATTTGAATAGGCCTTCGTCTCTAACCGCTTCGGTGAACCCCCCAGTCAACTTATCCACGCTACTTTTCGCCACCGCGGTGCTTTCTCGCAGGCTTCTCCCATCCCGGGCCCGCTACACTCCATCTCAACCATCGATTCCACTGCGACTTCGTTCCTCCGTTTTCCAGCTCACTCATTCTCATGCACCACATGAATGCGAAACCTCGGAGTTATGGAACAAAACCTCCGATCCGCGTGATTGCCAAGCCCCGGAGTGTGAAGAATATTCAAACCGCCGCACTTCCGAATTCACTGCACAAATGTGAAGCTCTTTAATTGAGAACCACAGTCATGATCTGTGGACTACGCAACTAGTATGAAGTTTTGTTTTTTTTTGTATAAAAACCCCCTCCGTTTTTTAAGGTCACATGCTGGCTGTGTGTGAAGGGACCAATCACGAAAATAGCACCCACTGTTGATCTCACCGTTGAAATTAGGGTTCCAGGTCCAGGAAAAAAGTATCATTGAATATGCACAAAGTCCACTAACTAGGCAATCCCACTTCCACTGTTCTCAAGAGTCCACTGGAATTGACCACAAGGGAAACTCATGAAGGAAAAGGAAAGGCAATAGCCATGAGTCACCCTCATTGACCTCTGGGAAGAAAACTAGCATTACTTCTGAAGCTTTTTGTTGACTCTGAGCTGTTCTTCCAGTCAAAGCTTCTACTCCCTCTTGTTTCCACCTGGCCAAAATTCTCTGTTGATGGCCTGCAAAGCTGTGCCCCAAAAGCTGCACAAAAGTGGGGTTTGATCCCCATCATGCACAGGAAACCAGAACTGTCCCACCTGGATGTTGCTCCCCCAAAACCTCAGTTGGGGTGGGGATGGGGCATGGGTGTGTGTGTGACAAGATCCCCCCCTTTATTTTCCTATGCACAATTGAGAGCTTGTTCTAGGACCTATTCTTTCACATTATGGGTCTCAACCCTGGGTGGGAATCATAGGGAAAGGGAGTCAATTTCAGTGCACAGAATTCAACTTGAGAGACTAAGGAGCATTAAACATGTGATCCCACCATTTATATGGAGATGATGAGGTCATGGCTTGTTGCATTCCTTGAGAATTGGTTGGCCAAGCCTTGGTATACCAATCACAGTTGAATTACATTCAGGATTGCAGCTCAACTTTTTGAAAGAAACCCTCACAATGTTTGGGCTTTTGAATATACCCTGCTGATGGAACAGAGGGAGAGTTATAAAAATGAAACCTAAAAGAAACTGTAAAAATGTAAATGAACAAAAATGAATCAATATATATATATATATATATATATATATGTTTTGAATACAAGAGAGGTAATATGATGTGAAAACTTAACTCTTAATATGGAACAGTTATATCTAAAAAGTTGTGAGTACTTTAGTCTATTGCAAAATACAATGTGTCATTCAAAATTACAGTTAGTGCATGTATGTACAACATGGAAATTCCTCAAAGAAATATATTGTAATAAGTTAACCATGTAGTGTATAAGTTGACCATGTAGTGCACATAAAGGAAACTCGCCTTATAAATTAGACATATGTCTTGCAAGTTGGACAAGTATTAGTGGTCTTATAGAATATTACCACATAGCTCCTAGTTAAATTCTATGTATAGAGGTAAGAATAAAGCCTTCTTCACTCTTATTAATACCTTTATTGTTCTTAATCTTGTTTCATGAGTCTCTAGTCTTCTTGTTTTTGGCAATGGTAATCGTATGTTTTTCTAGTAACAAAAGAACATACTTATCTTTTAATTTTTTATAATTTATGTCCTTGACAATTTGATAAGAGTGCTAATTTATTATTCTTCTTTTATTTTAAATTAAGTAAATTATTCCACTTCTTTTGTTAAGTTTTATAGGCTATGGACTATTCATCTTTAAATTAACATTTTTGTTTTCTAACATTGATCTTTTTGTTAAAATGAGTGGACTATGTTTCTTTGTAAAAACTATTATTTGATTTTAGAGGTTATATATTATTGTCCTTTAATTTGACTCTTGCATTTATTAAATTTTTTTATTATAGAGATGGAAGGAAATATTATGGATGTTATACTTAATAGAAGTGTGAATAGATTTACAACTATTGCAATTTTTTTCGAGCTTCCCAACATTCTTAGGATCAAAATTTCATATATTATCAATATCAACCATAGAGGTACTATTCCTATACTAATTAAAGAAATCAATAATGAAATTTAATATTTATGCTGATATGTGGTAACACAACTATATGATAAAAGATAAAAATATAGATTTTATTATAGAAGAACCTAAGAAAAAGATATAAAAGTAAAATATGGATAAATGATAAGAAGATAGTCTTAATGTTGCCTTTCTGTCACGGACATATGCATGTAAGCCAATAATTACATGTATAAATAGGTAGAAGTAAGTAAAAGTAAGTAAAAATAAATTAATTCTATAGTATTTGATATGAAAGCTTCCTAGAAGCTTCATAGATGGTGCTTTGACTTTATAGGTGTCTTTAATTGATTTTTTGGATTAGAAACGTGGTCAACAAGTTGGCCATGTACCACACATGTTGTTAGCTTGAAGACCAAGATAACAATGTGGCCCACACATAGAAAAACTTGCCTTTTAAGTCAAGGCATGTGTCCTACAAAGTCAACACATATTGGTCGTCCTATAGAATGTCGCCACGTAGTCCTTAATAAGATAGTATATATAGAGACAAGAGTAAAGCCTTCTTCACTCTTGTCAACTCCTTTCTTGCTTCTAGTCTAGTTTCAAGGGTCTCTAGTTTTCTTGGCTTTTGGCAATAGCCATTCTAGTTTCTTTTTTAATATACATACCAAGTTATTTCTATTTTTTCATCTTCCTTTGAGAGAAGTCTCACTTGTTTCTTTGTCTTTATCATGTTCTTGTCCTTGACAGATTGACATGAGTGCACTTACAATATCAGAGCTTGGTCTAATCTTGATTAAGAGTGGATTACCCCTTTTTCTTGATAAGACATAAGCATATTAGAAGTTACGGATTACCCTCTTCTAAATTGATATTGTCCTTAGTATTTTCTTTGTTCTCAAGTCCTCTCTTCTATTTGACTTGAGCGATATTAGACATCTTCTCTTTCTTAAGTATTATCATGGCAGAACTTGCTGAAATGAAGAGTGCAATGGCACAATGCAAGAGAAATTGAGGGAGTTAATGCTTGCGATACATCAACTCAATTTACCACCACAAGGAACAACAAGATTGGCAAGAAGTGAAGATATAGAAATGATTGGAGCTGCTTCAACATCTGCATCAAATCATATCCATCTTCCTATAGTGGAACACCCTTCTAGTGTTAGAGAACCAAGAATTGCCCTATCCGAGAAGTTTGATGGCACCAGATCAAAGTTTAGAAGATTTATCAATCAAGTATAACTTGTGATTGAACTTCAATCCCAAAGCTATCCAACTTTAGGATCGTAAGTTAGATTCATTGATACGCTTCTTTTAAGTTCAACATTATTATGATTTTCATCTTTTCTTGAACAACGAGATCCAATATTGGATAATCTAGAGGCTTTTTTGGTAGGGTTTCAATCCATATATGGAGAACATGATGTAATTCATGTTGCAACCAATAAGATTCGTATTTTATAACAAGACAATTGATCAATAATGTTATATGCTTCATAATTTTGACAACTTGCAACTGATATCAAGTGTGATGATGCTGCACTTATTAGCCAATTTCTCTACAGATTACAATATGAGGTAAAAAAATTAATGCTCAACTTACTTGATCTTCAAAAATTGAGTCAAGTAATTGACTTTGCTCTGAAGTGCGATAATTATCTTTTTGAATTCTGATCAGAGAACCGTATAAGTGGACCTCAACGTTACTATAATTCAATGGTAACACCAACATCGCTTCAATACATACATTCGGAAGTAGAGGATATGTAAATTGATGCAGTACGTTTCAAACCTCTTACTGAGCAAGAAAAGACCCGTCGTCATCAAGAAGGATTATGCTTATATTATGGAGAACCTAAGCACACTGCTCAACATTGTCAAAAGAAATGACACAACTATAAAATGAAGAGTACGACGATCAAAGGAGATAGTATATCAGAAAACGAATTTATCAAGCTATAAAAGGAATCGTGTGGCTGAAACCTTGTACAACACCTAGTGAAGATCCTATTCTCTCCTTAGAAACCTCTCCATGTTTTACGATAAATGTTATTCTAGGACCTAAATATCTCAAAGCCTCTTCCTTACTAGATTTAAGAGCCTCAGCATGTTTCTTAGATGAAAAATTTACTAAAAGACATAGTATATTTTTAATAAAGAAAACTAAACCTATTCATGTAGAAGTCATAGATGGTCGTCCGTTGTCTTCTAAGATGTTATTTATAAAACCTTTCTTATAGAAATAGCAACTAATGGTCATAGTAGCTTTATAATATTTAATATCATTAGATCTCCTTCTAATCCAATCATTTTAAGTTTATCATGGCTAAAAAAATATAATCCTAAAATAGATTAGACTTCTCATAGTCTTGACTTTTTTGAAAGTATAACTAAGAGTATAGTTAATCAAATAGAAAGTCATAAGTCTAATATAATTAAATCTATATTTGTAGGTGCAAGTGCTTTCTTGCATGCTGCAAAAAAAGGATCACCTTGTGTCATTTATGCCACACGTGTTTCTACTAGTGGAAAGACTTTAAGTGGCATTCGAAGCCAATATCAAGATTTTCAAGATGTATTTGAAAAAAAAAATGTGGATACTCTTCTAGAACATTGTCCCTATGACTGCTCAATTGACCTTCAAGAAGGAGCACAAGCGCCATTTGGACCAATCTACAATTTATCTAAAAATGAATTCGCTAAATTCAAGGAGTATATTGAAGAGAATTTGGCCAAGAACTTCATATGCCATTCCAAATCTCCAGTAGGATCTCCAATTTTATTTGTGAAGAAAAAAGATGAATCATTACGGATGTGTGTTGATTATCGAGGACTCAACAAAATCACTATAAAAAACAAGTACTCGCTACCTTTGATATCTGAACTTCTTGATTAGTTGAATGAAGCTAAGATCTATATAAAAATAGATCTACGAGGAGCATACAATTTGGTATGCATCAAAGAAGGAGATGAATGGAAGACTACGTTTTGAACAAGGTATGGACATTTCGAATACAACGTCATGTCTTTTGGACTTATAAATGCACCAACAGCATTCCCACATCCAATGAATGATGTCTTTCGGGAGTTTTTAGATGATTTTGTTGTTTCTTA